ATTGATAGATCGGCTTAACGTCCTTCCAGATCACAAAAGTACAATTACAGAAGATAATAAAAATAATACGATTATTCTCATTAATAAATAGCCAAAGGGTTTGATAATATTGATTGATAATTATTTTAACCTTATTGATGTCCCTAAAAAAACAAACAAAAGAACCGGCCTTCCATAATTCCCGCCTCCATTAAACATTATTAGCCCTGGATTCAGGCATGAAGCAGCCTGATATAATGCACTGCATGTTTTCTCTGGTTCAAACACATGCATTAGGAGGATCTAAACATGGTTTATGTATCGATGACTGAAGTCCTAATCAAATCAGGGGGAGGAGAGGAGAGGCACTGCCCTTAACCTCAGAGCCTCTCAGTCTCCTGCTGATGGCCGCTCGCTGGAGGGACGAGCAGCAAAGGCCTCACACTGTAATGAGGAAAAATGTATCAATTTAGCGTGGCCCGCGCCAGGATTGAGCGCTCAGTGGGTGAAGGTGCACTGAGAGAATCCTTTTTCCTAATCAAGGACAGTTTGGTGCAGGCTTGTGGTCTGCCTGCAGTGTGTGTAGCATCAGCAGCAGTGGTCCCGTAGCCCCCAGGGCCTGGAGCCTCCCTGTGCCTCCTGGTTCACCTCATCAGCAGGGTTCAGCCGGGGGTCAGGTCCTGCCCCCTGACGCTGCCTTCACTCCAATACCTCAAGCAAAGGCACTGGGAAAGGCTCCACACTCAAGGACTGAGCAAAGGAGAAAGAAAACATACAATAACTTAGCCATGATCTATGCTTTAAAGGAGCTATGGGCAATAACGTCACCTGTCAAATGCTCCCCTGTTTTCATATCAACAGAGAATACACTTCCTATGAGCCAGGAATTTCATTGAAGTTGTCTTCTCCCTACGTATTGTATTGTACATTACAGTTATTGATTGATATAATCACATATGTCTTATAATTTGGGATTTAAATACTTAATGCGTGTATATTTATATATATTTTTTCTTTTTTATTTGGCTCACATGGCTCATATAAAGTGCTATTGGTAACATTTAATATAAAAGACATCACCTTATATTTCCATGAAAATAATGTATATTCATGCATTTATTGGAAATGAATATTATGATTTTCATGTACCAATTTTTTAGTTTTATTTAATTTTTAAACTACTCTACACTACATTTCACTTGCTTGGCATTTTACATATAAAACCCATTCTATCAGTGCGCTTTAAAAAGTCTCTTAAAAGTATAGTTGTCACATACGTTCTCTTCTCTGCCACCTGCTTTGTTCCTCTCTCCCTGAGTCTTGCTGCTGTGAAGCTGTTTTCTACGTATAGCATTATCGCCTTATATGGCACCATCGACATCTTCTGGTGTTTTCAAAACATCTTCTTTGCATTATGGCCACAGTTAGATATAATGTCACATATTAGTCCTCCAACCCCACCATTTTGATTCACTCTGTATCCAGGCTTTGATTGACTTTCAGCCTAACTAAAGTGGATTTTAATGAGAGAATACATTAACTCCCTCTGGTCATGCTAACATAAATCAGCCTTTTCTTGCGGGATCCACTGCTGAGCTCATAACACCACGCTGAGAGAGTGTGAATAACCAAATGAGAGATCGTGAATGTGGCAAACCGCTGGCAGCCCCGGACTCATTGTTGTGCGTCGTCCCCACCGCCGAACAACTCCAGCAGCATCACAACAGAGCCACACACTGCTCCACTAGCTCTCCATACAGCCATCATTTATCAAGATCAATTAAACGCATATCTCTGGTCAGCTTGTATTGATTATTTTCGTCCATTTGGTAATGCGGTGACTCACATGTTTTGTTTCTGATTACCAGTGGCAGCAGTTAGTTTCAGTTCGCTCATCCTCACCTCCACTTACCAAACACAGCAGTGCCAGGCGTTTCATTTATCTGATTCTCTTTGTTAGTAATTGTACACAGTTAAATAGGTTAGGCTGAAATATCAATAAATTGCCATCAAATTAATGTCAATAGCAATGCTGTGGATGGTGCTAATTAAAAAGCAAAAGGGATGAAAATGAAGTCAAGGCATTGCCCTGAATAATTGATAACGCAATTTATGATTTTTATGAAAGAGTGCCGTCTGTCTGCGATTCTGATGAGGCTGTAATTAGATGCATTAATGTGTCTCCGTGTACCAGACTACAAACTCAAACACTGATGATTGTTGGGTTTTTTTACTCGCCAAATTACACATTTTGGAATAACATTACCTCTAAATATCTACTTAAATTTGCATCGCTCCCAAAGAGGTGTTATGGTCTCATTTTCATTAAAGGCAACTTTTAACTCTGGGCCAATCAGAAGCTGCTTTTGTGTGATTTGGGATTAAAAGTGAACCAGATAATGGGAATAAGCTGTGTTTGTTGCTAGGCTGCATTTGACAAGTTTTCAGCAATTAAGTCACCTGCCTAGCACACCTTTTTAAATGAATAATGGAAAAAAATTAATTAATAAAATCCTTGATGACAGTTCATTCAAGGTCACTAAACTGTAACACACTTTATAATAACTAAAGTTTCATTAGTCTCAATAAAATGCTTAATTCATAATGAACAAATAGTATATTAAGAATGATCCAGGCTTAGTAACTACTTTAACATACGTGAACCCCTAACCATAACCCCTTAATTAAGTAATTACTAAGCCATTATATCATTACATTGTAAATCTTTCTTATATATATATATATATATATATATATATATATATATATATATATATATATATATATATATATATATATATAATAATTTGTCCATTATGATTTAAGTTTTTATTTGTGGTTTATTAAGACTAATTAAGGTTTACCTATTATAAAGCTGTTCCTTTGCATTCTACACTATAAAATAGAAAATGACATAATGTAATTGTTGTTCTTCGTACCTAAACCTGATACATTTTTGGTAATTAAACAGTGCTTTTTTAAACAACAGTTATGCTGTTGTCTTGTTAATATGTTGTTGTTTCTGTCTCGTACAATGTTAATACTTTTAACAGTGCACCAGAGTAAAGTGGGGTCAGGTCACTTTGTCGTGTGAGAGTAAAGCACACGTGAATGCGTAATGTTTATTGACTCTAGCAGATCAGACTGATCCCGTGTTGATTCTGTACCTCCTCATCTATTAGCCGAGCTCGACCTTTGAGATAAATGAAGAGCCGGGGAGGCAGACAGACGAGGGGATTAGAAGTGGGCCGCAACAGGGAAGCCAGGCCAGAAAAATGAACGGACTGCCAGCGGATGGATGAGGTGGGGGAGCGTAATGGCGCTGTTTGTTATGATGTACTGAATCAGGTTCTCTTTGACAAAACAGTCCTTAGCACCTATGTATTTATAGTGTCACCTCTCAGTCCATCCACAAAGGCAGGCCAATGAAATGTGAGTGTGTTACTGCACTGAGGTGTCTGGGGCGCTGCTCTACCGTGACCTGCTCATCCGTCAGGCCCACGGCGGCGGCGACGGCGTGGGGGTTATCTGATCACAAACCTGATTGTGGTCAACACTGATGCGTAAATCTCAGGAATGTTTGCAAAGAAAAAGCCCAATATCAACTGCTCTCATTTTGTACTTTAGATTAAGACTGTTAGGACAAAACCATTCAAACCCTGACAAAGCAATGGACTTCAAATTACAAGTACAAGAGATGGTATCAGCAAATTGTAGTGGGCATTTAGCAGCAAGGTCTTTTCTAGTTCCTGTACAAAGAGCTTCTTGCTTCTCTTGTATTGGGAGATTATTTTGGTTTAAAACAGAAGAGCTAGTTACGGCTTGACATGTTTGGTTTTTCCCAGCTCCAGTGAACAGCTCCTCTCCAAAAGGGATGGACTCCAGGCATTCCCCCTGTCATCAACAGTCTGAATAGGGTGTCACATTGAGTTGTGTAAATGGTCTTTAAATTGTTTCTGTGCTTTGTGTTAAAAAGCTGCCTCACGCTCCCTCCACATTGCCTCTAATGCCCAGTGATGAATGAGTGTGGAGGAAGTGAGGTCTTTGTTTTTGACACTTGGAAAAAACAGGGTCTCTTGTAAAAATACACAGAGTAAGATGCCCCCGAGGTTGACCCTGTAGCATCTAGTTCTGGGTGATGTCTTGTTTGGGGATCAAGTATCACACAAAATGTGAATGGACCATAAAATGAACCACAAAGAGGCCGAAATATCACTTTAAGCTCTTGTTTGGGAGATTACACTAGATGTTTATGCTCATTTTATAGTTCTGCTGTATTTTTATATTGTCTCATTTATAGCAAGATCTTAAATTGGAATCTGTGGTGTCACTTGATAAGTTCAAGAAAACTGTAAAAAGTGTGGTGACTGAGATGTGTGTATGTTTTTCTTGAGAGATGCAAATGGTTTTATAACATGATATTTTGTGATTTTACGGTTTTGTATTATGCTGTGTTGGCTGCTACCTTGGCCAGGTCTCTCTTGAAATGGGACCTCCTGGTTAAATAAAGGTTAAAAAAATAGAAGATATACTCAATATTCTAATTTTGCATATCTTCAGAACAACACATATTGCCCACCCCTAGAAGCATCATTTTGAACATAGAGAAACAGCAAGCAGAAGATTGTCAGTTAAACAGACTTGGCTTCATGTTGCGTTATAGATAAATGATTATAACCTGGTGTCATATGTCCTTTGCTTTTTGCTTTTTTGCTTATGTAACAGCTGCACTACTTAAGTTAATGCTCTGAAGTTGTACTCTTGTTACGATGAAGATTTGACTTTGCAAATTAGTTAGAGTTGTTTGAATTCCCGCTGGAAGGCCGTGGCCATTAAAAGAGCAATCTGAGTAGATGAATGGACTGCAATGCTCAGCAGCACTGTAAATGTATTGATCCCAATTTCCTAAAGCCGGCCATGTATTTGATCCACTGTGCGGCAGTCATGTCCATTGTATATGCATGAGTGCACAAATGGGAACTAGAAGATATAAAAATTATTATAACTTTTTGTATTTACAGATTTTGAGGATATCTCCATAGTGGCTGTCCAGGACCTTGCCCCCATAAAGCACGATTACTTGGAAAAGAGGCGGCGAGGTATGGCTGAACTGGGTTATGTTATTTACAATGAGTAAAGAGTGTAACCATATTTAAATCCTATAGCTGGCACAGTCTGCTAATTTGCATATGAAAAACAGCTGCATCAGTTGTAAAGACACTGTCCCCTTTCTTTAGACCACAGCTTCTTTGGCTCTGAATGGCAGAAGAGGTGGTGTGTCATTCACAAAAATATATTCTTCTATTTTGGAACGGAGAAAGGTTGGTTTCAGCAATCATATGAAACATAAAAAAGTATTACAAATAATGTGTTTTCTTTTCTAGATAAGCAGCAAAAGGGAGCCTTTTATATTAATGGATACAAGGCAGAATTAGTGACAAATCTCAGAAAGGACTCCAAGAAAAATGCCTGTTTTGAGCTCACTGCTCATGGGAAACGGTCTTTTCAGGTTTGGATTTTCACAGATTACTTTAGAGAATTAATAATTAGATCATTATTAACATCTTGCACAAATAATAAATAATTTTAAAAGATACATTATTTTTGTTTAATATCAACACATTTTGTGAATAACTCAATTTGTTGTTTTCTTCCCTTGTAGTTTGCAGCAAACAGTCCTCAAGATGCCCGAGATTGGGTGGATGAAATCAATTTTATAACTAAAGGTCTTGGTACTTTTTTATGACATCCCTTGCATGTCTGCCTGTCCTGAAAGAGGAATCTCTTCTATCAGTTTGCTGTTTTGTGCACTCTTATCTGAATCCAGGGCATAAGGATGCAGAAGGTCACGTTGTTTAGACTGTAAATCACTCTGAAACACATTTGTGATTAAGGCCATATCAATAACACAGGCCTGACTTTTTAAAGTGCCACTGGGTAATTTGAAATACAGTTAAAGAAGTGCCAAAGATATATTTGGTAAATGTGTGCCTAAAGTTTCTGAGGGGCAGAAAGGTCAGAAATGAAAGGGAGGATTTTATCATGGCCGCTTCATAGAAAACTCTCCAATCTGTCATTAGTTGAACAGGGTGATCTTATGTGTGTAGTTGCTGTAGTCTCCCTCCCCCGGCGCACACTCCTCCCCTAACCCACCTACCGAATTCCAACTTACAGGAAATTGATTGGTAGATGTTCTGGTTATCCTCCTCTGACATTGATTTCTGCATGGCGGCTGGTGTACGGCCGAGGACCTGATACCCTGTGTTTCAGTGTCCAGTCGCCTGCAATGAGACAGCTCTTTCATCTGAGCGCGCCGCTAAAATGGGCTCAAGTCGGCCCACTGATTTGCGGGAAGTAACAGACACTCAGTAGTTTGTCTTACTTCCTAGAGGGCCTTTTATAGTCGAATAAGCAGTCTCATATAATTCAATTTATAAATTTTAAATCATACACTTGGATACCAAATCAACTTTTATGTTAAAAGGATAGGGTGAGATTTAACTTGATGGATATCACATAGCAGATTCACTTGTTTAGACAGATTGTAATTCACTATAGTGCAGGTAACAAAAGGGGGAAAAAATCCTAAATCAAATTAGAATGGAGTATAGTATTATATTAGAGCTAAAACATATACACTATATATGCTAAACATACAAATATATGGGGTTGAGATTTACGTTGTAGTTACTAAACCTGAATCACTATTCATTATACATTTCTTGATTTTTTATTTTTTTTTCGATTGATTTGGCTAATTAATGTGTAGTTATTATAGTGTTACCAATATGTTTTTATAATTTTCAATTCATTATATGTGAGGATTTTATTTAAGACATTTATTTATTAAATTGTAGACCTTCAATCTGAACAAATTCCTTGTGACGAAGACGAGGAGGAGGGCCTTGATGAGGAGGACTCATATGATGATATTGAAGGAGTAATGGGGGGTCCCGTCCCACCACCGCCTGGTGCCCTGCCGCTGCCTGGTGCCCTGCCGCTGCCTGGTGCCCTGCCACATGCTACACAGGGAGGGCAAGAGGAGGACGATGAGGGGGAAGAAATCTACCAGGTGGTGCCAGGTAAAAAAAAAAAAAGTTATAATATTGTTATATTATATAATAATGTTATATTATATTAAAAGGTGCACTATGTAACATTTTTGGTGGAGGGTCCGGAATGTTCTACAGTATGGCTTCCATATTGTTTGTGTGTATTTTATTCCACAAAAATAACTTGGAAAAGCATGCATTCTTTCTGTGAGTGAGGTCGCCTCTCCATAGATCTGACCTAACTTGGCGTGGAGGCATTACCTGCTTTTGTGTCTATGGAAATAGAGAAGGTTAATGCCATACTGTGGAATATTTTAGACAAAGCAGTAATATTTCCATGGCAACAGGCAGCTGGCAGACTCTTCAACAGAAAAGTTACATAGTGTACATTTAAAAATGATGACGATTCAGGCTCACTTACTACTGTATTAATACCCTCACCTCTTAATTAAAAAGCCTGAACCATTTTTAATAAAGTATTTGTTCATTATAAATTAAGTCTTGCTTTTATTAAGGCTGTAAATTGTGCCGTTATTATAAAGTGTTATTGTGTTAACTTCACACAAACAAAAAAACACAAAGCAGCAACAAACACATCCACAGCAACAGCCCAAATGGATAGGAGACAATGCAGGCGAGCTGTACACCACCCCCATGATACTTGGTCAGACAAATAGACAGTGCCTCGCCCTCTCTGTCTTACACACTTAAAGCCTAAGGGATCTCAGAGGCAGGGTATATTTGTGATGATCTCTGCTGGCCGCGAAATTTGTGTTGCCAGGTACCTCCCTATCACCTCCGCCACTTGCCGACTGTAACTCATTGTAAATCAACCAACACTAATAAGCTTGTCATAGCCAGGGTGGCTATGGTAGAGTCACGCCGTGCAACACAAGTGAGATTTTCCATGAAGCAAAAGCCTTTACATCGATGTCCTTTTGTTAGAGATTTGAAAATATGACTGTGGTTATCTCGTTGAAATCTCTAAGTGCTGTGTAGTTTGCAGCTGCTTTGTCATAGATGTACAATTAGCTAATGTTGCCATGGCACTGAAACTGAAGTCAATTTTTTTCAATCCACAAAACTAAGATTTGGCTGAACTTGCCTAGCAACAGCAAATTTGTTGAAAGAGAGACAAAAGTTCATTTTTTGTGGCTCAAAATAGTACAGAGGCGTCTAACGTCCCATAATTAACTAATATTGCAGTTTGATTGAGAATATTGAGATTCAGGGAAAGTGCAAGTCTCACCAAAAGTAGCCCAAGTCCCGTTTGTCAGCGGGGGCTACCAAATCCAGAGGACAAAAGGGGTGATCTGATCTTTTCAGGGCCATCGTCCATCACTCTCTGTATTAAATAAGATACATCAAGATTTAGTTTCACCCTGTGAGTACATTACCTTTGCCAAAATCACTGGTGAGAGGGGAATCTGTCTTGAAACTGTCATGCTGGCGTTCAAAGCCATCTGGGAAGAGGTACAGATCCTGACCACAGATGGCATATCAAATGACAGCCTCTTTCGTTCACTTTCTCACCCCTTCACTTATCAATCATTAGCACCTCTCTTTGCTAACAAGCATCTCCATATTTGGAAAATACTATTAACTAAAGTAGTACACATTTAAATCTAATTCATGTAGGGTGACTATTTCTGCCACTCTGAACAGCAGCGTGCGTTATCTCTGATCAATACTTAAAATAATTAATTACACAAAATCTGACTTTTCCATTGATTTTTGTTCTTAATATAATCCAGATTGCTGTATTTATAAAAGCCTGCTATTAGATGTACGTTATTTGGTTGCACAAACAATACTCTGTCTATATTAAAATACATATTGAATAGTCACACACATCTTTCCATCTCCAGACCTTAAACGATCTCAAGCCTTCATTCAAACACTGTCTGTTATTTTTAAACAGTCATAACCGTATAGACTTATTGACCATATTGAAAAGTTCCCAGTCCAGACGTGGAGCGCACACGACCCCTAACGTGCATGTAGTTATAAATGTGCGACATGTATCCTGCTGTGGGCGTGTGTGTGCGCGTGTCTCTTTCCCTGTTCCTGGAAGTGGAGGCGCAGGTTGTGCTGGGAGGTGGATTGTGTTGCTTGGTTGTGGCATGGCTGTCAGGCTGGTAGTGTTGAGGATGGATGTGGGAGACAGAGGGCAGGCATATCACAGTGTCCCCTCTCAGACCACCGAGAGCCACGCCCCAAAGTCAATGACACATCCAACGCCCCTGCGCACTTCCCCGCAATGTTACCACCCACAATGTTGAAATGAAGTGATTTAGGACTATTTAGCAATACATTTGGCACACGTACAGTATTTGTCCAAATGTCTGCACAGGGATACACGGAAGGAAAAACAAAATGAAAATAATAATGGTTATAGGTGAGAGATCAAAACAATATGAGGCTGATATTCACAACTATTAACATATCTGCTATTGGCCTTTAACCTCCACACTATACTAGACCCTAATATGTTGTTAAAACACACATGACTCTTAGTTTGAACACAAGTGCATATGTAGATAGCACTATACAAAATGTGACACCCTTCTCTTATAGATTTATGTATTATTATTTATTTGTTTAAAAGTCCTATCTTTTTTAATCAATAATTTTTTAATGAGTCAGGTTTCCATCTTCTTACTTTTGTGAAGTTCATTTCATATTCATGTATGATAGTTAGCTTCTATTTTATTTTAATCAAACAACTTCTAAGTGAGATGTATGTACCTTGCAATGTGCTAATTAATTACGTGGCCCTGTACAAGGTAAAAACCTCTCACTTATAAGTTGTCTGATTAAAAGAAAATAAAAGGCTAATTTCCATCTTTTTGTACATGTGTCCCAAGACTGCTAAAAGTCTCCTGGTTTGTGTTTATGGTTCAGTGGTTAGAGCGTGTGCAGGATAACTCAAGTCACAGAATTGGGTGATCTATGTCTAATCTTTGCCCCTCATAGTCTAAAAATTATACTTCTTGCTTGATGTAGCATCATAAATATATCTTCTTAATCCATTTTTAATAGGTAGAGGCAATAAGTGACATATTTACAGAAATGTTACAAAATGATTGAAATCATTTTTGTGTGTACCACCCTGGTCTCAGTGTAAACCTGTGGGAAGCACACACATCTATTTGAAAACTGAAAAATATCTACTAATAATTTATATGTACTCAAATTAATAATGCAGTGATTTTTTGCAGATGACATGTTAGACCCTGCCGAGAATGACTCAATAGGTAAGAATGTTTTATTTTATTTTTCTCAAATGTGATATATTTCAACTGTCCATGCTTATTTAACTATACCCTCTTTTTCAGATCGGTCTAAAGATTATGCTAACTATTTCCAATGCTTATGGGACTGTGAAGCCAATGAACCAGATGAGCTGTCTTTCCAAAGAGGAGACATCATCTACATTCTCAGCAAGGTCAGTACTACTATCACAGCAGAAATAACCCAACAAATTTAACTATATAAACTTTGCACCTAAATGCGTTTTAAAACAACACCATCCGTAGTTGCACTTTGACCCCTGTTGACGCAATTACACAAGCGTAACTCCAAAATACGTGATTATTTAAGGGTTAAACAACATCTTGTCTAGTAATAACTTCACCCTCATTTGCTTCCCCAGAACATGCTGATATCGAAGTCTAAATTTGCCTGTTAGTGTGCGCTTGTGTCCTGATACAGCAGTGAAACGCCAGCAGTGGCATTGTCTATTTCCCAGGCCACTAGGGTGAAGTGCTATTGAGGCGCTGTGTAATGGCACTGTTGTTCATTATACTGCCTCTATCACTGGGGTTAATTGAGTAGGCAGCCAAGCGAGGTTCTTCCTTTCTGTTTGACATAAACTGCAGGTGAAGCCATCTTGCATCTCAGTCTCTTTCTATAAATCCATTTTCCCCTCGTGTTTTATGGCCATTGTGTAGTTACATGCAGAGTATCCACCAGTGAAGAGCCACCCTACTGGAAATCAATGTCCTGTAATTTGGACACTTTCACTCTGTTGCATGCAGGCACTTGCTTCTCCGCTGTTTCTATTGGTTGGTTTGAAATTGAATCATAATGAGCTGTGTTTAGCCTAAATTATCTGAAGTATGAAAAGAGAGAGAAGAGAGATTACAGTTTCAGCCATTTTGCAGTAATTACACATTGGAAATGGTAATATATTGTGATCATGGTTTCATATTATATTGTATTGTTTTTAAAATTGGACTTAGTTTGACCATCAGCCTCTGTTGGTCAGAAAATATATATTGTAGTGTTGTCATGATTTTTAAAATTTCAAATGAGATTTTGATACTAAGGAAAAGCTCGATACTGATTTCAATACCACAGTCATAATTAAAATACTCTTTTACACAATAGAGTGTAATTATCAACACAAAATATTAGTTTAATGTTACTATATGGTGTTTTAATAATTTGGAAATAGATAAAAATGAAACAAAACATGTATGATTTTCTTATGTTATATTTTACAGTGTTGATACTTGTTCAAATAAATATCAAGTTTCAAGAGAGCCAAATAAAAAGACAATCAAACCATACATAAAGACAGAAATCCAACATTTTACTAATACAGTGATTGAAATGCACAATCAAACTTCGATGATGTAGACAGCAGGTAAAATACTGCAGCGTCATCGAGGATCCAGCTTTAATTGAGGTGTCACTGGCAGCTAAATAGATGAGATGCGTAGTTGGCTGTCTGTATGTTTGATTGAGGGAAAGTCAAAACAGCCAAATCTATATTTTATATTCACATAACAAAGACACTGCATATTCAACAAGCAGAGTCCTGGCTCCGAGCTGCACTTCACCTTCATCTTAGCTTTACTTTGTATCACTTTCCTCTGTACAGATCACATTACCAGTTCACTTCAAGCCTTAAAAACAAACTTAGGCCAAGTTGACAGGGTTATAGTAGCTTACATTAATGGCACTTACTTTTGTTGTGTTAACCTGTTGCCAAAAGACATAACACAATGACAAACTATGAGAGATTCTAACTTTCCTCTAAAATATTTCAAGAGAGGAGCTGTAAATTATTTCATGGACGGTTAGCAATGGTTTAAGTTCAAGAAAAGACTCAACTCCACTCATGCCCTATTTTGCCCCAATAACGCCACATTAGCCTCTTGAAAAGCATTATTTAGGTTATAGCCTGTAATCGCCTATTCATTTTAATGACCCCTTTGGGAGGACTTCCCTGTGTCGTAACTATGTTCATACAAGGCCCACTGGTGTTCAGTTTTACGGGGGATTCCGGAGAACCCTGACCTCCGTGAGTGAAATACGGGCCCTTGGCTAGAACTCAAGTCTGTCGCTTAACTGGGGACCCAGACACACGAAATGGCCGTAATAAAAGCGGAGCTCATAAATTCACATAGAGGGTGGGAGGCCTGGTTGTCTGTGCTGTTATGTCAACACTGACCATAATTACAAGGTAATAAGGACACGCTCTAAGTGCTAAATCAATGGTGCTAACAAACTGTTATTTTTAAAGCTCGGATGTGATTGACTCCTGAAGTGCAGAATGGGATAGCCACAGGCCTGGTGTCATATGGCTGTGAACTGAGGAGAACATGCCGATTGTATAAAAGGCCCTCATCCATCATTATCGATCTCTCACTTACTGTAAAGTGGGGGCATTTTTACTGTATTTGTGTGTTTTTTCCCTTGTGTATTTTACGGTCGGTGTGTGCCGGCTGTGTGTGGCTGTGCATATCTCTGTATCACTGACAAAGTAAATAAATTAGGAACCTCACAACTCATATGAATCCCATTAGTTCAAGTGAATTAATCTTGTAGTGTGCCCATGCGGCTGGTTCTCACTCCTCTGCATTCGCTGGTGATGCTCAGCTGCTGATACATGGGACACAAACGCACCGTGAAATCTGTCTTGTGATTCTTGTTGTGGCATTTCATTTCTGAGAGCTTGCATTTTTCTAACGCACATTACGCCTTTTTCTGACATTATAGCATGTGGTGACAAATCTGAGCCTGCTTCCTTTTTGCACTGTCACACCCTTTGGTGTGGCAGACGCTTTTGTGACGAATTGTAAAGATTGGATTCAGCAACATTGCCAAAAATGTGCCAATGCGTGCCAGAGTTCATAGTCCCTTGTAAACCGTTGTTTTAATACTCGAAATTATCGCTGAAAGATTCAAGATAATACAATCTTATTAAAATTGCAACATGCACTATGCAAATCACAAAGGCTACAATTATTTAAGTAATATTATGGCCTCCACATACTTAGACAAACGTTATTGATTCACAAGGGAAGGGACAGTGCATAATCCCATAATAAACCTTGTAGTTTAGACCTCTGAAATGTGAATCTTATTTGTTTAGCATTTACATTTTCATTCTTCTATCAGATGGTCATTCACCTAAGCATGTTCAAATGTAAACTGTGAACTAAATCTTGTTAAAATTTAAATAATACATCTAATCACAATATTTGTTTCAAAATGGACAATTTAATATTTTTTCCAAGTATTTTCCAAAAACAGTTTGCCCTTGTTTGTGTACATACCATAATATAAATGTCACAGACTTAAACATAAGGCTGTCCTGCATTCTTGCCCTGTAATTTATGTAAGAAGCATCAAAAGACATGGGCTCCACAGGTCAGCTGTCACATTCCTGTATTCCCACAGGCACTCATGGAGAACGGCAGGATGGAGTGGGAAGAGATTTATGGCACAAACCCGTCCGGGGTCCTTAAAACTCTGGCAAGCCACCCTGCCATCTCCCCCTCTATCTCTCCACCTCGCCCGCTCACTTTGCTCCTTTCTTCTGTCCGCTGTCCAACCAAAACTCACAGAGAGGGAGAGAAGCCAACCAATCACAAGAGACTATTAAAGTGCATCACATCACACATGCCCCAGCCTCTTAAAGCCAGTTAGACGCAAAGACAACATGGACACCACTGACACCTTGTGGTTGTTTCTAGCAATAAATATCCAACATAAACTTGAGGAAAGTGCTCTTCATTATTGACAGCTTGTATCTGACTTGCTGACGGAGGTGAAATTGGCCTGTGAATATTACATTATACATCATAGTGCTAAATTGATATTTCAAGTTAGCTGCGTGTGCTTAAGCAAAGAAGCTTTTTAATTTTAAAGCCATGGTAGCTAGCTGGATATCCACAGGTCAAATCAAATAAAAGGCCGAAGAAAGGCAAGAGTAGGCAAACAATCAGATGGGAAAAGTCAAGCCAAAAAGGACAAAGCAGGGGTTTGCCTTTATCCTATTGTGTGAACAGTGTCCCCCCCTCAGCACCATTTAAGGACCCCTGACTGCTATTGTAGCCATAGACACCAAGACGCTATAGACAGGCAAGACATCCTATTTACCACCCAAAGTAGCAGGGGGTGAGTCTGGGGTTTGGGGTCAGGCAGGAGGCGAGCGGTCATCTCCCGGTCAACTACAGTAGGTCATTATTCAGCCCAAGCCAATAGTCCAGAACCGCGTCCGAGCAACCCAGCCCCCAATCCATTCTGCTTAATTATTATAAATGAGGGGCGGCGTAAACAGCCATCATTACACACACTCAGTGGCATACACAAATCCACTTTAAATTGCTATTAAGTTAAGGAGCTATCTGTAATCCCGGGCGTGCATTAGAAAAAGAAGCAAGTAGGTTTTTCTTTTTATTAAATCTCATCGTCCCTTAGATATTTTTAAATGTTGGTATGCTCTGTCATGTTTCCAATTTGAAGCCAATTCTCTGATTTAATTAAAAGACCACTTGGAAAAAATGGACACTAAGTAGCCATTGCAGTCTCCAAATGTCCTAAACTATCATCTTTACTTTGAGACAGATTCAAACAATACATTCTATAGCTTTAGCTGCCCATAAAAACAGTTGGCGGCCATTTTAAGTTATTGGCAAAGCTTTATACTAGAGTGAGAAGTGAAGAGGGCCTGCTAACCTCATTGTAAGAAAGTGATCGCAGTCTCCAGTTCTTGTGGTTCATGTTTCTTTGTTAAAATGGCCAGGGACAGACAAATTTGCAAGTGCAGTGTTGTGGATGACTATGTAGATGAGAAAAGGTAGAGAGGCAGGGCATAGCAAATGAAAAGCATGGAGAACAGATGCAAAAGAGGATGCGAGTCAGAAAAAAAAAAAAAGCTGTTATATCGAAGATGTGAGGAGAGGGATAGGACGAACGGAGGGGGTTGGAAATAGGGAGGATGGGGGAGGAAGAGGGGGGAGATATTGTAACACCCAGGCGGCGGGTTCACTGGCGGGGCAATGAGAGACTTCCTGCGCTCCATCACGCCCAAGGCCTGCCTCAGTCAGCTGGTGGCCGAGGAAAGATGCCTCATGTGTCAGCCTTATTAGCACTCCCCTAGTTTGTATGCATTTGGGATTGTGTCTGAGTCTACGTCATTTGGGATTAGGAGGTGGAAAACAACATATCTGGTGTCTTGTAAAAGCATTTGTGTATTTTTGTAGGAAGAAAATGCCAAATGTTGTTGTGTTGTTTAGACTGGGCACAACCCTTGCTTTGCTTTTGTGCTTCCTTGTTCCAGTGCATCCAACCAGCCTTGCTTCACCTTCTCTCTCTGCTTTGGGCTGGAAGAGCTGTCAATCTGTCCTCCAGGTCGGGGAGTGAGCGATGTGCCTATCAGAATGCCACCATTAGCCAGCCCCCTGAGTGGTAAATAAACGATCGCGCCGGTACACTGCAGGTGTTGTCATGGCAACGGGCTCCCAGTACTGGCCCCGCCCACCACGGCTGCGCGCCTTTGACGGCAAGAGTCACCGGGAGGTCAGCGAGACGAGGTGCGACAGCGGCCACAGCACGGCGCTGTTTGTCCCGTATAGATCCTGTTTTGATATTCAGAAAACACACTGTCTATATTCACTGTATACTTTCAACCCCTGCTCATCTCTTTAATTATACTTTTATAGACAAGTTACAAAACTATAAGAAACTTCCTTCTGTTGTTTGACTCTTCTTCTATAGGCCATATTTCAATATAGTCCAACTTGAAGTACTTTAGATGCCTTTTTGAGCAAACTCTAAACAACTTTATCTCCTTATTGTATGGACCTATAGAAGACAATTCCCAGCTTACATCATTGGAGCTGAAGCCACCCTAAAACAAATCACAAACACAAAAGAAGAAAACAAACAGAAGGAAAAGGCCATTATGGAGTTAGCATAGTTTTTGTCATTTGGATAATTTACTCGCGCCGTCTCCTGGAATGTCCCTATTACAGCAGGTGTACTCTGGATGAACCCATTGCAAGTATGAGAAGATGGACTCTGCACGCCTGACAGACTCCCAGCGCCATTGGCACCCACTCCGTGATGTAGCAGTCGTATTAAAATGGCGGCGCTGATAATCCAAAAGACCTTTCTGAGGGAGAATTTGAGACCGACTGCACAGATGGGCCACGGAGATAAATAAAATTCTCTTGTCACTACGGTTGGTCGAATGGTACCGTGGCGCCCCCAAGGGAGACCAAAACTGTTCCACTGCCTCTCTCCTGATGCCTCCCCCGTCCGTATGTCTATGCTTTCTGCTATTTTCTCCAATGGGTAGCATCGCCAGCTCTGTGCAACCAGGCCTTTCCCGCTATGGTCTTATGGGAAGCATAAAAAGACAATTTTCTCTCTTGGACTTGCTCTCCCTTGCATTATAAGCGCGTATATACACTCAGCAGAGAGGAAAAGTTTGTCCGAAAGCCAAACATTGTAAAGAGAAGTGATTTCGTGAACATCAATGAGGCCTAGGTGGACAATTGACTACTGTGATATTATAATTTATTCTTTAACAGCTCTTGAACTTTGAGCTTTAACATTGGGTACTTTTACATGGCTAGATAAAAAAGCAAATAACTAGAATAATCAGATAAAGCAATCATAACATCAGGTTTTTGCTGTGTTTCCATACACAAGAGAAATCTGATTATCAAAAACAACTGGTGACAAGTATCAGTTAGTAAATGGATTTTTAGAGTAATTGTTTTGTATATTTTGAAGACAAAATCCAATGATTTTTTAAATAACTCTTTAAATTTTTCATCTAATATTTTCGTTTTCGTTTTTGTCATTTGCACTTTAATTTGCCCTTTTTGCATATTTTTTCTTGTCAAAACCTACACAGGTGTGAACAAGAAATCAGATTACCCACATCAGGTTACTCACATCATCTTTATTATTATATTTCTTGTGATGTGTGTCCAAATAATTACCCTTGTGGATCAGTAAAGTTTATCTAAGTCTAAATTGTAACTGTTAACATGAAATTTCAGCAGTGTGATAACTCCAGAAATTATTATTATGGATTACGGATTATCAGATTTTTGGTGTTTATGTAAATATAGACAATGTTTTAGTAGACGAAGGGTTACTGCGTATTTCCGATCATATACAAAGCCATTTTGTCCATCTCAATCTCAAATCTATGGTGTGATAGCATGGCCTTTACCAGAGGTCAAAAGTATTATTTTGACATATTTGCTGACAGGTGCTGTGTTGGGCAGGTGCCTGTGTAGTTACTGTGCAGTTGTACGTTTTATTGACTGTTGGAGTGATATAAAATGTTCACAAGGCCGTTGTCCATCTGTGGGGAGCAGGAGAGATGTGTCCGCGCTGATGGCTTCAAACTCTGATCTATTGAAGATCTCGTTAGAGCCGGGATCAGATGGTCCTATGAGTATGATGGGAAGAAATGTTAGCCACACACAAAGCTAATGGCCCGAATAGTTTATTCCGATTTAATATGATATGAACGTGCATTTCTCATTGCAATTTTAAACATATTTGGTTAATATTAGATGCAAAGTCTTGGTGATTTGAACATTTAGAGCATAATATTAGAAAATGCTTCAATATGCTTATTTTGTATTGCTCTATTGAAATAAATATTTTACTTTAAAAATACATATTATCATTAATCAGAAGTGATGGTTAATTTTTTATATAGCTTTGCCAATTCCGTGAATCAAAAAGACATTGCAAAAAAAGGAAAAAAAAAATCTCATTTAAGTAGAATAATAGAAAATAGACTATTAACTTAATTTTAAAAGGCCATGTTCTTAAAAGTATTGTTTACATGGACATTATGGCAGTATTCAAGCTTCTCTCTGAATAATATTAACCTGGCGTTGCTCTTTGCTTCCAGTGGGCTTTATAACATCCGAGCCACGTGCTGTCACAGTTGAACTCGTTTTAACAGTGGCGCTAGTGCTAATATTACCAGATATAAAGCACAAACACACGGCACTAAATCCTGCTCCATTTGCCCCTGTTTAGTTGTTTGTGCCCTCCCGCGGGACTCACTCGGTTTTATTTGCTCGTTTTGGGGTGTAGGAGTACAACATTCACGGCTGGTGGGTCGGAGAACGCAACGGCTTCGTGGGTATTGTCCCCAAAGAGTTCCTGCACCCTGCCTACATCCTGTGAACTCCAACAGGTACCAGCACTCTCTTATCATCAGCATTATGGACCATTACAGTGGCCTAACACGCGCAAACAGTCCCCCTGGTACTCATCCAGATTGCCATTGAAGTATATTCCACCGTTGACCTGTCGTTTATGGCATCTGCTGGCTGCAAGAAGTACTGCATATCACCTTCTAAATGGTGCAATAGGCAATGCGCGAGGATAAATACGAGCAACAAAAGCATGATTACAGCATCACTTGTCCTATTTAAGAAAATTATTCTCATGCACAGTTAGATAAAGTTTAAAATGAAGGACTAAATTATTAATGCATGTTTTCATGTATGATACAGAGTTACAGAGCTACTGCCAGTGGTGCATTAGACATAAATATCAGTCCAGTCAAATACTGCGTTTCTATAATTTAAATCCAATAAAGCATTCATGAGGCTTAACCACAGTAAACTGTATTATGCAAATCAGTCATGGATTTGATTATTCTCATTCATTCAAAACCAATGCTTTATTGAGTTAAATTAAATGTGTGAAGTCATATAATAACAGACACTTCATTTAAATGTGGTTTATTGAACTTTGCAAAGTAAGACAAGTATTTTTTTACTTAATTTATCCATGAAAAATTGAGGCATTTAATAAAACTCGGTTTTAATGTGTGGCGTAATGTGAATACTTCTACCCAAGTCCACTAGATGGCACAATTTCTGAAAAAATTAATGAAAGAGGTACCACAGAAAACATTTCCGTATAAATAGGGTTTTGAGAGAAAACCACAACATTTTTCAAACAGTAAATATTAACATTGCCCTAATTGTTATTATCTCATAGATCGAATCCAAGAGAAACAATAAAAAGTGAGAGTAAAAAGCATCCATTCAGTTTATCATGTTTATTAAAATCTACATGAAAATCCTCAAAATTAAATTATAATAACATAACACACTCATCACAATAATGGAGCAATCAGTGACTAAAATTAAAATATCTTTATTAATCACACATAAAATAAATTAAAATTAGACTGTTCCAGTTATGTAGAATGATGGGTCCCTTTTACACAGCACATTTAAAATAAAACCAGTAGTAATTTGAAGTGATGTTAATATTTCTTTGGTCTAACATTTCAACTGTAATTTGAAATTGTGAAGTGAAAATTTCCTCAGCACGGCCACATGATCGAGAGAGTGACACATCAGTGATTCACTACAAGCATAGAAGTGACATTTAAAACAACAGAGAATATGACGTGTTACAGAAATCACATGGACTTGGTAGTTATATTTAGTTTTCAGGTAGTGTGGGTTTTCCACTGATTTATTTATTATTCATTTTGTGTCAGTTAAAATTAATCCCCATTATAGAAAATATTGCATTTAGTGTCTTTTACTTTGAAGCATATTTTAACCATTAACAAGTTTGACCATTATGACACTGCTCCAACTAACGTTAAATATATTATTAATAAAAGTACTGAAGCATTTTGTAAACTTGATTGGTTTGTGATCAATAAAATGCTAAATTAAATAAACTAATAAAACGTTTGAGCATGACGTGATCTCACAAGGAAAAGGTTAAAACAAGGTGACCGTCCCAGAGAGGAGCATCAACATATGTAAAATAATGAGGATATTAGGCTTGATGTAGGGTGTCTTTGGCAGAGGACATCCCCACTCTCCATTGTTCTGGCTCAGTGCGGGTGAAGCTCACTGAGGCCTATGTGATTTCACTGTCCCCATTCAAGACTGGTTCAGCTAATGGGACCCCGATGCTATCCTCTGAGGCATCCAAAGACATGGAGGAGCACAAGTTTTCCCCCATCGCCAATTTAAGATCAACTGACTCAGGCACACAGCTGGTCGCCAAGATGCTAAAGTCACTGTTTTCTGTCAAATCCACTACAGATTCTGATTCATTGGACTCCAGATTACCGCTCGTTGTCAACTCACTGGTGTTGTTAAGGTCATTTGTTCCCTTGACGATCTCTATCTCCTCTTGGATACTGCCCACGTTGGAAATGCGCTCTTCTGCTTCCAGAGGACACCCGTTCATGTGTAGCGTAAAAATGCTCGAGGCTCCGGTTTCGGACCAGTGACCAGTGATCTCTTGTGGGACAACCTCGGTGTGTATGTCCCCATTTGCCTCCCGCATCACCTCAGCATCATCCCCAATGCTTTCCTCATCACTGACTTTTACTATACTCTCATTTGAAGACTGTAGAGACTGCCTATCTTCATAAACAATGTCGGAATTGGAAATTTCTATTGATTTGTCCTTCGTTTGGTCCATGTGGGGATCTATCTGTTGTATAAATTCATTTGCACAGACTTCAACTTTAAATGCAGTGTGCATATTTTCATTTTCTTCATGTTCTATGGAAATTATTTGCTCATTTGACTCCTCTCCACTTGATGTTACCTCTGAATTAACAGCTAGTAAAACATCTCCATTACTATAATCCTGTTTAACCACTGTCTCACCCAATTCATTTTTCATATCATCCTGGAATTTAAGGTCATTTTCAGCATCCTCCTTCTTGGATTCAACTTGCTTTTCCAAAACATCTGCTTGATTAACTTCAACATTTTCTACGGTTACTTCACATAGATTATTCAGCAGACCATTGCAGTTCACTTCACTTTCCTCCTCTGAATTTGAAACAATACAACTATCGTGTTCTTCTTTTTGCTCAGTTGTGTTTTCCTCAATTGTTGCCTCTTCAGTTTCCTCAAATCCAGGTCCAGTTGGTGAATGTAGCTCCACCGACTCCTCCATTACACAACCATTAGTTCCTGGCAGTTCTTCTTGTTCTTTATAGCAAAGATTTTCTGGACTTCCTCTGTCACCCAGAAAGAAGCTAACATGTTTACTGTTTTCTACTACGGCTTTGAGATGGTCATTGGTCTGGTGGACTTGTATGGAGGTGGTGGAGGTGGAGTCACTGAGCAGGGGTTCAGTTGTGTTGTCCTGTTGTACATGATCCACTGGTTTAGATGACTCAGGTAACAGCTGCTTGTTTAGTTGAGATGGTTGGTGAGGCACAGGACTACAGGGCAAAAAGACACAAAACATAATGACATTAGACAATTTCACATCAAATGTTTAAGTTTTTGTGGCATTTATAATTCAGATTTTGTTTAACTAAAACAATAAGTCATACTGTGTCCATAATATTCAACTCACGTCAGAGTTAATTAATGTGACCCTGAAGTCTCAACTGTGATTTTGCCCTTTTCAAATGTGGAACATTTCAGAACACTCTATTATAACTATGGTGTTAAAAATGGCTTCAGTGATTTAACATTATGTACATATCAGTCATCAGTTAATATTCAAATTTAAATGTAACTTAAATCCCAGCCCAACTTCTTTGGCAGATAAACTGTTTAAACATTAAAGGGTGTAATAAACATGTCCCTGTAACAGGATTTAGTTGCATTATATAATGGGTTTGTGACATAGGTGTTTTGTTAAAAAAAAAAAAAAAAATCACAGAATAAGCAGTTTATATAGTTCCTCAACTTTCCTCAACAGATTTGAGAATGTCCTCTCCTCATTTCCCTTTTTTTGGGACAAATATGTTTTCTTACTTTGTTATTTCCAAGTGAAAGACTGAAGCCCTTATATCGAAAAGAAAACAGTAATTTTCTTAGTAGTAATTTAACCTGCCTCCTATCTCAAATAAACATGACAACTCTGAGATATCATCTGCAAAATATGCAATCATAACTTTATACCTTTCCATTGACTCATAGGACACGGTTAAGCTCCTCTCCTTGGCAGGCTCCTCCTCTTGGGCCTGTGCGTAGCCGCGGTTGGAGGAGGCGTAGGTCAGGATGGCATCTGTCACGGTGTAAGGGGTGTGGCCTTGGACACAGTCCTGGATGTGTCCCACAGGGAGCTGAGTCTGCAGGAAGAGGTGCAGCTGACTGTCCGACAGACACACGGTCATGTGCACCACTCTGCCACAGAGAAATCACAAGAACAAGCATGAATAACACTGTTACAGCAGAAACACTGGGCCGAGCACTGGATGAATCATATGAAGAGCTTTGAGTCACTGATGCTCATTTACGCAAGCATTTAAAAACAAAATTTAAATATTTAAGTATGGTTCATAGTAATAAAGGTATCAAACCTTGTAGTGTCCAATCTTTAAAAAATATCTGATATGTGATATTTTAGCAGGTTGAGATTAATTCTACAAATTTGATTATCTAAGCATTTACAGACCCATTATAGCCACATTCAACAATCTGATGTTTTTGTTATCAGGATAGAAAAAAAATCAAGATATTAATTTGTTCATATCACCTATCTCTATTTGTGAATGAACCAGTTAAAAGTGTGGGTTTAAACAATTGCCATATATTTTGGTTATTGCTATTCATTTCATTGTACTATGTCATCTGACACAATGTCTATATATTTCGTAATGTTCATTTTGTTTTTAAAGGTTTAATAAGAACTGACTTGTCCAGAAAGCGCTGGAGACCTTTCCTTCTTCTTTCAAGAAAATCATCATTACTGAAGGAGAACAAGGACTTGCCAGGAAGATCTGGGACTGGTCTGGAGTCAAGCAAATAAGAGAAGAAAATCAGATTTACCTTTTTAAATGTACAATACATCTAATTTACAAATAGGATTTCCACGACGACAACTTCAAATGCACTTACACTAAACCAGCATTTTTCTGCAGCTTCTTCTTGAGCCAAACAAACTCACTGTAGCGCCGTCGCACACATGAGGTCTTAGCTGTGAACGCCTTACTGTTTGTCTGCAAATTAACACAATTATATTTATAAAAGAGTTTGATTGAATTGCATTTTATAGTGTAGTCGTTAAATAGATGTAATTGAGTCAAATGGTGGCAGGGGAAGCACATGATCACATGACAGATTTGTTCCGACACTCTTCACTGATCTCAGCACAAGCCTCCTTTTGACAACTGTTAATGGCATTTGTCGCTATATTTGTAAGTTTTTTTTCTCATAAAACAAGATGAACAAATACAATTAAACCATAAAAACATCATTCAATTCTCAAATGAAATAGGGACTTGTGGCATTGTTGAGACAGCCTGAGGCCTGGTGCTGACACAGTGCTGAAGCAAACATTGTCTTGGGCAATGTCTATTCTTGGCACAAGAAAATGTAAAGAATCTAGCATGCTTTGTCCTTAGTATATTTAATTAGGTTTAGTTATGCATTCAATGTTTGTCATGCATACTGGTCCTAGAACACTGATGACCAAGAAAGTTTCGCAAAAAACAAACAAAAAAAGTGCATAGGAGAGCATATTTGAACTTACATGCAGAAAGATTTTGTAATCCACATATGAGTTCCATGAGCCTTCATTTTGAATGCGGGGATCTTGAACCCGCACTGCAACAAACTCCTACATGAGAAAATTTATATATATAGATTTGGTAAGAGATGAATGTTTTTTTTCATCTGATGATAGAATAGATTACAATAAAGGAACACTTTTTCAATTAGCCAACTTCCTCATGCTAAAATGTACTATTTTTACACAATGAAATACTGTTGATCTGGCACTAGCCCTTAAAAAAGCAATATTATTGACTTACATCCTCTTCTTGATTACTGATCATACTGTTGGCTGTCAGGCTGCACAGACATCTGGAGTCAAAGGAGAAATGCATTAGTCACAGTTCCTCATGAGAACAAGGGACAAACTGCAAAGGAAATCATGAATGAGTTTCCCTTTCAGAAAAAAAGAGAAGAAAAGACAATATTGTTTATAAATATGCCTGGGGCTCTGGTTCAATGATTTTCCACTGTGTGGTCCTTGTAAATGAAGATGTAAAATTTTTAATAAACTTTGTCTCTTTGTGTAGTGAAATGTACACGTTTTGTCTTTTTAACCTTCATTCATTATCTCTGGAGTAAAGTCAATTTGTACAGTATGGTCACAAGACTTGCGTGGGTGCGTTTTTACATACTCCAGAGAAAAGCCCTATATAACTCTTACACTATGAGTAATGGGTCAAATTGAGTGGACAGTGCATGGTCTCCCTCTGGACACTGGGTGAAAACTGTAAGTGACACCCATCAAAATATAATGAACATTAAATAATTGATTGTTGAAGTGTTTTGACCGTAAAGGTTTTCCTAATCAAGTATATCTGGTATCCATTTCCTTTGTAACAAAGTATTACACGATAACAAAACTATACAGAACACAAAACAGGATAATACTGATTTTACCAATAATTCCTCCTGACCTAAATACAATTAACGTGAAAGTAAAATGAAGCACACATTTACATAAACGTTATTGTTCTCAGTATTTGTACTAGTTTTGTCTGCGCTCCTCAGATAGCAGCACCAGAGCAGCTAACACCGGCCCATCCCACTTTAGCATAACTTACTTTTAGAGTCCGCACGTAGTTTTTTTTTTTTTTTTTTGCTAACGCTGCGCCATACAGAGCTCTGTTGTAGCTGTCGCTTTTCTTTCTGATGTTACAATTGTAGAGGTAAAAAAAGAACCAAAGGCCACACCGTTGTTTATCTCAGCTGCTACCATCCCCATTTCGCAAACGCATCTACGACGTCATAGGCAAAGACACCACGTGACGCCGCTGCACTTCCGGTGACGGGTGAAATGCAAAATGTGGTATGGAATCACCATGGCAACTGATACTTTCAGCTAGACAGTGGAGTGTATCCAAAGTGTCATTCAATTTGGATTTTTGTATTTAACTATATCTTATGTTTGATCTATCTCTCATTTAAGGAAAAAAGTAAGAAGGACTCAATTTGGATATTTTTTCATTCAGATATCATTTGTTTAGGGATTTGTTAAGGGATTTGTATCTGAGCTGAACTTGGGGAGTGAATATAGGCATATAAATATTTAGATTTTTTATTTATTTGGAGATAGGGTATATATTTTTGTTAATATTCTGTACATTTTGTACACCGATTTTTTCAAAGACATTATCAACTATATAAAGGTTGAAATATGGTGAATGAAGGATTTAAAATTTCTTATTTGTTATTTATTTATTTGTAAAGGAACAACATTTAAAATGTAAATATTTCAGATTTCCATCTTCAGTCCATAATAGAGAACATTTACAAATAAAATATATTTTGCATTAAATCAGATGTTTTGACTTAATAATGGCTCTGTCTTTAGAACCAATATAGCGATTATTTTTTATGGTCAACTAGACACAATTTGCTGATTAACCCTTACAGTTCTATATAGGCTAATACACTTTTTACTGCACTATAAAAAGACTGTCCATGTACTAGTAGACTATTTTCCATGATATGTTATTGTGTGGAATACACGCTTAGAGACATCACTGTGAGCCTTATATTGTTTATTGTATGAGAAACTCTGTATTTCCATGAACATATTCAGCTTGCAGACACACAGACAGAGCATCATTCATTTTCATGTATTCATCCAATGCTCTGTATTAATTGACTATTGCTTTTTAACCAATTAGTAATACTAAAATTATTAGGATATACTTCAGACTGAAAGGTGTCTGTGTTACCTGACAGTGATGATGATGATTGATGAATCATGGACGTAAACATTTTGAGCCACTTCCATGCTCCAGTCCGGGTTTTGTTCTCGTGATGCCTTTGTAGATCTATAAATCACATACCCACTCACCTCTCCGTCTTGCCTCCGTGTGTTCTTCTATCCATGTCCTTTACGAATCTGTAATTCTGAGCGGCCATCGAGACTGTACACTTTTCTTCCCCCAGCAGCAGACGAAGGAAAAGAAACGATACATTTTGTATTACAATTGGCTTTGTCTGTAGAAATCACATCCTTACAAACCGCGTCGTAAAATCAACACTGCCTTTAAACTCTTATTTCGGATCGGGTGCATAAAAAACGTTTAATTTTTAACCCGGTGAGTTTGATTTACCTGCTCCCTCCAAACGTGTTGTTTCAAAGATCATTTGATCGTGCAGTTGCCACTTGCTAGCTTTTAACATGCATGATTGGATTAAACGATGCTATTACACTGTGTTATTTAAAAATCTTTTAATTTAATTAACCTTTCGTTGAATCACACATTTGTACATTTGATTCAAAAAACGCTTAGCGTGTAGCGTTGGTTGCATGGGCTGGAGCAACATGGAGGAGATGCCAGCTAACACTGGCCATTCACTCAATGAGGGTCTGTCGCTTTGAGGCATTGTTGTTGATACATTTTTCCCTTGGTTGGCGACAGTAGCTACAATGGACATATCATTTATATTTCATTGTTTTGCTTTTTATCTATTATTAAATTGTACCAAAAATAAAAAGCCCTGATCTAAAGCTCGCCAGGTGTTGCAAACCGCTGTATCTTGAAGATGGTCCGTAGCGTTCCCGCGATACTGACCATTTTTCTGTTTACGTATGTGTACTAAACCGTTGTGCATGATTTTATTTTACCTGATCAATCATGATAGTTTGCCCCGTTACAAGCAAAGGCTAATCCACAACCCACGCCCACATTACTCTGTGCAGCACATGGGCAACTAGGCAAAGTGGAGTCAACAGTGTTCATATGGAGTTCACAATGTAATACTTCTATAAATTAGTTGCATGGTTAAAAATGCATGGGGCTAGATTACAATATTTAAACATAGCCTGATAAGTAAATCCAAGTATCCTATACATTTGTAAAATGGTACTGTACAAAAATAAATACGATTTGGGACTAGTTAGAACATTACATTGCATGTTTGGACAATATAGTAGTACAGTAGAGTAGTAGAAATTTTCCCAGCCCCTTAAGTTTGACTGATGATTTAAACCCCCAGTAGCCACCTATAAAATAGAAATGCTAGTTAAATGAACTGTGGATCTGCCTTGTCCTGTGCTGTTCCCCATGTCTTTATAAACCCCATTATCCAATGCTGTTTTCTCCTCTCTACTACATTGCTTCCTTCATGCAACTTTCTTGACGTTGACCAGGAAGCTGCTGGTCGCCTGATGAGTATGAGCACGACTACAGAACCCACTAACGATGCTCCCACTGTTACAGAAGGTTTAAAATATTATTATTTTCCAACATAAATGTCTCTATATTTTATGTAACTTTGTGGAAAGGTGTGATTCCCTGTTGTAACTTTGTCCCAGAAGTGGCTATACATGTGTACAACCCCCTGAAACAGAGTTTTTAGCTGAAGATTGTTGGCAGCCCTATTTTATTCAAAGAACATTTGTAAATGGTCATAAGAGGTGCTAATACTTCTTGATTGACTTCTATCCCATTAGAAAGCAAAATGGCTACAGCTGTGAAAACAGAGAAGAAGCCAGATGAGGTTGCGGCGCCAGCAGCACCAGATGAGGAAGAGGAGGAGGAAGAGTATGTTGTGGAGAAGGTCCTGAATCGGAGAGTGGTTAAAGGGAGAGTGGAGTACCTGCTCAAATGGAAGGGATTCTCAAAGTGAGTCATATAATATAATATAGTCCTATGTTTTCTATAACAACAGACATAATTTTACATCAACAAGTGAACCTTCACCCATTCACACTCTCAACCATACACCTGTACACAAATGTACACAGACACTGGATGAAAAACAGATGAAGTGCCCAAGGCCACACAAACAAGATGCCAATATCAGGATAGAATCTGATACTTTTGGATCAGCTGGTGAACGTTTACTAACAGCCAATAATACATCTTTGCTAGGGAGCAGCAGTAGAGCTATCATAGGATAGATGATTTTAAATCGTGAGAGAGGGTCTTTATAGTTTACACAACCTATAGATCCATAAGGCAAATAACCATACACAAATTTAATGTAATATTAATTTACTTTTGCCCATACTACATTTGTGTACAGTGAGGATAACACATGGGAACCAGAAGATAACCTGGACTGCCCAGACCTAATCGCAGAGTTTCTTCAGTCTCAAAAGACCGCACAAGAGGGGAAGAGGAAGGCAGATGGAGACGGCGATGACAGCAAATCAAAGAAGAAAAAAGATGATGTAAGTATATTATAATACACCTTGTCTGTAAACAGCTGATTGAGGATGGTCATATTTGGGGTATTTAACAACACAGCAAAAGAAATAGGCACAATAATGCAGCACAATGATGCCGCAATTGTGAAAACCACTGTCTGATACAGCAAAGCCCAAATCATTGTCTTTTAATTAAATGCACTTCATCATGTTTTGAATGTGGCCCTAACGAAGTAATTTTGAAGCTCATATAAAATCACTTGTCCTTGATTGTATTTTTTTTTCTTTAGACAGAGAAATTAAGGGGTTTTGCTCGAGGTCTGGATCCAGAAAGAATAATTGGTGCTACAGATTCAACGGGAGAGCTTATGTTCCTCATGAAATGGTGAGATATACCTCCATAAGTGTGAAATAAAATGTGTAGCGAGTAGCGACTGTGGGTAATTTGACTCTGCATGTTCAAGAATGTGTTTTTGGAGCTTTTAGCATGGAGCCTTGAATGATCTATAGGTGGTTTTCATGTCATATTGCCAGAGGGGGCAAAAGCCAGTTTTCCCATAGATATATAGTACTTTACATGAAGTCAGAATTTTTTTTTCTACTTTCTACTATTTTTATTGGTTATTTGTTGTTTCCATCGTATAGTTACATATATGCATAATATGTCATAAGAATTCAGAATGTTGAACTTGATTATTTCTTTCAGTGACTAGATGCTTAAATTCAGTCTTACAAGAAAAAGCTGTTGTTATTATATATAATAACAACATATATACATATACATACACATACATATATAATATAAATTTTAGCTGCCCCCATCTGAATGTTGTGATGTCATCTGAAACCCAGTAGTCGTAAATTAGGTAAAATGGATTCTTGTGAGTTTGTCGTTACCTCATCAAAAACATACCTGGAGTTGTGTTTTGTTTCATTCACACATGTTTGAGGAAACCTTCATTACTTGTCTGTCTGCATATCCAGAGCTCAAAATGCTCTGCTCCACCTTGTGATGTCATGAAGTGGTAGTTTTCAAGTTAACCGCTCCCTTTTACATGTTGTTCAGTACAGAATGGCAATTGCAGAGCTGAAATAATCCACGATTCTAGCAAAGATGTATGGAGATAAAAAGCCCAGTGGAGTACTTTATGTATTACCACATGACAACACGAGGTGGAACAGAGCATTTTGAGTGTTTTCTGTTTTTTCTGAGATAACAAGTCATCTTAAATATGTGTGTTTGTGTGTTAAACATTTGTGAATGAAACAAAACAAAACTCCAGTTGTGTTTTTGAAGAGGAAATAACATTATAACATTAGATCAAAAATGAGCATAAATGATCCTCTCATCCATTTAGCCTGTAGTTAAGTAGTAGAGAGGGCAGATACTAACTTTTAAAAATGATCTTTGTTGTGTCAAAATCAGTATTGAGTATTGAGCCAATCTATTAGTATCAGAAAAATATACTTATAATTTTAGTATCATGACAACACAAACCTATAATATATTTGCCAGTGATAAAAAGAAGTTGCCTTGCCTGAGTTGCTAACATTACTTAACATTTTGAATCACTAAAATCTTAATTCTTTTATTTTTTGTATCTGTCTTACTTAGGAAAAACTCAGATGAAGCTGACCTGGTCCCAGCAAAAGAAGCAAATGTAAAATGTCCACAGATCGTCATTTCTTTCTATGAGGAGCGGCTTACCTGGCATTCGTACCCCACCGAAGATGAGAAAAAGGATGATAAAAACTAACCCAGGGCAACAGGGGCAGGGGTGAAAAAAAAAAAAAAAAAAGAGTAGTTTTGAACTTCGTTGTACTTTCTGAGAGGGGGGGGTTGGACAGGGATGGGCAGACTGTGGCAAGCAAGACGCATTTGTCTTTTGATGTAGTATGACTTCATTTGATTCTGCTTTTACTTGGAGTTAATCTAAACCTGTATATTCTTCAGATTTGCTTGACACAGGCCAAAAAAGTAAAGATGCAGTGTTAAGTTTTGAGTTTCCCAGTCCTCTGCAGTATCTTGTTCCCTTTGGGCAGTGCTTATCATCGTGCCCGAACATTGTATTAGTAAGGTGACATTTCATTTTTGTTTTATATTTTTTATCAATGTGCCATTTTTATTCTGTACTTTATTGGTCATGTGATTTGCAGGCAAAACTGTGTCCATCTTTGCCTTATATGTATAACTTGTTTGATGTATAGTTATAAACTGTGCTTTCTTTGTTCAGTAATCATTAGTGTTTTCAATAACAGCCATGTCTTGCTTGTCTGTTTTGGAAAATAAAACCACTTTTTGTTATAATTGTTGCATTGCCGTTTGCTGACATGCATCCCAAAAGTATGCAATTTTATTTTACTTTCTGGTGGGGGGTCTATCACCTGCTTGTCTCCATGGAGATGTTATCGCTTTGTTCCATGGTATGACATTTAACACATCTATCTAGCATTCATCCATTACGGGTGTTTCTATTGCTCAAAAATACAATAATTCTCTTTGTAAATGGGGTTGCTTCGCCACAGATCTGACCTATAATGTGGCTTATAGTCTTCCTTGAGATCTCTACTATGAAACATTCTAGTCAAAGCAATAACATCTCTACAAAGACAAACAGGCGATGGACCCTCCACCAGAATAGTCGAACTATTTACGTCTAATGTGTCCCTGGTTAGTGTATGTACTAGTCTAGCACCAATACTTTCTAGGTAGCCATGTTGCAATAATCCTGATCTTGAGTCATAAAAAAAATAATGATAAATTCCCAGCCAAAAGGCTAAAAACAGTAGGTGTTATTATTTATTTTACTGGGACTGTCTAATAACCATAAACTTTACATAAATGGACATGGCTAACACGCTTAACTGCCGTGTTCAAATAAGAAGCGTTCATGGGGCGCTTCCGACTCCTTCAGCTTTGACTGAAATTGTCATCCCTCTCTATAACCGCTGCTGTTAGCTTTGTCATTTTGGTTTCACAGTCTACGCTAATAACTTAATGTGCAACAACACTTTGAGCAACAAGAAACAAGTTTAATATCATCCACAGTGCCCCACCTTTTCTGTACCACTGAGTTACTGTTAAACTCTGCAATGAACTCTGCCTTAACCCTTAATAAATGTATTAGGGAGGATCTGTTGAACTTTCCTAAACCTATAAATGTGTCAGGAAGGGCATCTGGTGGAAAAATCTATACTGTGAGATCAATTAGCTGAAACAATGTAATTCATAAAGTTAAAATCGTGGATGTAGCGAAATTTAATTGTAATCAGTTATTTTTCCTTTGATAAAAAACACTACAGTGGCACCATATAGTCTAAAAACAAGCTGGCCCTTCCTTATTTTATACAACAAAATATAAAAGTATCTATACTATTCAGAGTAGAACCTTTAAGATTAAGGCAATTTATTTTATCCCAAAATATTTAATCAGTTAAATAAGTCAGTATCACCTGTGACACTGCCAACATAAGAGTGCAAATCCTGAGGGACACTGTTGTAATACCTGTGTCAGTAATACACAGGCCTGTCACAATAAATACATTTTTGTAGTGCGATATATTGCTGACGATAAATGAAACCAAACCATAAAGCAGAATTATCCCCCAAAAGGTATTCTTAATGTACAATACTGATAACCAACACAAACTGCAATAAATAAATAAATAGCAAAATACAACACTTATGCAGTTAAGTTTGTATTTATAATGAGTCAGAAGTTCACAATTCAGCCTTGGAAAGCTCAAATCTTATTGTGGTCAATGTTGGGAAGGTTACTTTTAAAATGTAATCCCCTACAGATTACAGATTACAGACCCCCAAAATGTAGTTTGTAACGTAATCCATTAAATTACTACGTAATCTGATTACTTTGGATTACTTGATATTGTCATGTTTTTTAAACGACATGAAAGTAGCAACCACATCCTGAAAATTCTTGTTTGTTGTCTTCAAATTGTCTGAGCCCAAGTCTCAATGAATAAGCAACTGTTTGCTGTAGAGAAACAAAGACCATGATATCTTAATATAAGAGGTTTTTGTCTGTTAAAAGACAGTAACAAGATAAGCCTTTCCTTCACCAGATTAAAAAATATTATTGATAGAGAAATAATTTTTTATATGACAACACCTTAAATTATGTCAACCTACTGTTAGGTGTCATGTTGTTTAGACCTGATTTAGTCCTGGTTTAGTCCTGATTTTTAGACCTGGTTTACTCCTGATTTTAGACCTGGTTTAGACCATGTCTTTAATTCTGGTTTAGTCGTGGTTTAGTCCTAGTTTAAACCTGGTTCAGTCCTGCTTTAGTCCTGGTTTAGTCCTGGTGTTAGTTCTGGTTTAGAGGTGCACAGGAGGAAGCGCGGTTTACGCGAGAAAACACGGTCCACACGCGGCGCACGAGACGTCGGTGTCCGCGCTGTAACTACGGAAGGAGACGTGGTCCGCGGGTTCTTAGGTCGATGACGATGATGGTGTGTGTTTGTGTGTGTTTGTGTGCACGTCCCCTCATGTCGCAGGTCACTATAGGACAGTAGTGCAGATATTATGAGTCTATGCAGGTTGTTTTCACCAGTGCCAGTAGCTCCTGTTTCACATTTAAATTGTAGGCGATTTTATATTTGTTTTTTTTTATATATATATATCTCACATCGGGAGAAGAATTTCCAAGACACAAATGCGTTTTTACCAATGCACTGCTGCTTCCACTGTGTGACTGACACCGCCAACTTTAACATGACGTTTACATCGCTCTTACTGTCGCGTTTTGTTTGGGTTTCCAACAATGAGTGGAATTACCGAAATAAAAAATAAATAAATGGGATGTAGCACAAAATGTGAAAACAGGAAAATACCGCCTTGTAATCCACTTATTTCAGCAAAGTAACTGTAATCCAATTACCACTCATTGAAACAGTAACTGTAACGGAATACAGTTACTTATAATTTGTACTCTGATTACGTAACGGCGGTACATGTAATCCGTTACTCCCCAACACTGATTGTGGTACTGAAAAATAACCAAAATTTCCCCAATAGTACAAAGACAGTCCCTACAATAAATATTGACCCACAAAAATTGTTGTTCCATCTATCATGTATTGAAAAATAAGTTGTATTTATTGTGACAGGCCTAGTAATACTGTGCATCTAATATTAACTCCAGCATCGGATGACCACTCTACTCCAATCAGAAGTCACCACTAGAGAACAGGAGTCACGGGTGAAAATAAAAACACTTTATTAATCAATAAAAACAATTTCTGATTGCCAGCAAATCTCAAAACAGGGAACTACATCCAAACAGAAAGCAGAAGGTTGAGACTTTAATGACGAACTACATAAATGAAGACAAACATGTAAATATTTACATGAGACGAGACAAAAGTGCACCAAGTAGTAGCAGTACTGATAGTAGTGTTACACAGAAGTGATGTTAACCAGAGTTTTCATGCCAGAATATCACATATGATGAAGGCGAATCCTCTTTCAAAACAAAGACATCTTAATGCTGCAGAGTCTTTTCAGCCTTTTGTAAATATTGTAGTCTAACTGCTATTTCAGCTGCATTGACTGACCTATTTTTAAAGGGTGATGATGAGATACACATACCAATAGACAAACTTCACTCGGGACAAGTAATAGCACTTCTACTTTTGAGAACAAATTTCCCAAAACCTTTTTAAAGTTTGATGAAATAGTGAAATCAAGGCATTCAAAACCAAAGTGGCCACGCAAACACATTCTGCTAACTTTTCAATCCACGCATTCAAAACATCTTCTCATTGGCTCACTTCGCCAAAACACACCAACAACATAAAGAAGCATAATATTTTAAGCCAACGTCCGGCTTTACAGCAGTTAAAAATGTTAAATTACCTCAAGTGGCTTTCAGCTGGGTTACAATGGCAAATAAGTTATTATCTATTTCCCAGCTGAGCCTGTAATGCTTAAAACAGGGCAGGACCAGACCAAAAATTAAAATGGTGATGAAATATGGCAAATCCTTTAACAGTACATTGGAGCCAGTCACTTAAATACCTCATGTGATGACGGCTCAGTTCTTTTAAACCAAAACAAAAACAGGTGTAGGTTGCATAAAGCAGATGTGTCTATATCTAAAACCTTGCTTAATACTACAGATTATGGACATTTAATAAGAGCTATCCTAACCGCAGCTCTGTGTGTTTAAAACAGCAGCAAAAAAGTAGCGACAAACAGCAAAATGCATACAGCCAAGCCTTTTAGGGACGAATTACAGTGCTATGTGTAAATAGGAAGTTGATACAATTGCCTCCTCTCTAAAGCATCCCAAAAAGCATCCAACTGCCCCACGTGAACTGAAACCAAAACAGATTAGACCTTCAAAACTGTGGCCAGCCCATGTACAACTTCAGACCCTCTCTATGTCCCACCAATCAATTTCCATTTCTTGAGTGAGATGTTTGACGATTTTTCAGTTAGCAAATAAATAGCATCCTATACCATGGACTTCCTTTGCCTTTGGTATCTAAACCACAAATGCCTGAATCTGGGGGACTTGTCTTCATTGCCATCACAAAGTCCTGTAAATCTTTTCATCCAGTGCATAGTAATCCAACCTTCATTGTGAGCGTTCTCCCATTTTTGTTGAAATCACAATAAATATTCTTCATTAGTGATTCGGTGCAAACAGATCAAGAGAAGCTAAAATTTTACTTATAGCTCATTTTACGTCCTTTGACATCCCTCGCTTATTGTTTTTCCTTTTTCAAAAGAACACGTATCCTTACTTAAACATGGAGCCACTTCTGCTTTAAGTTGTTTCCAAGAAATAAATGCAGGAAAGACTGAAAAAGGGAAAAACTAATGCAGGAAGAGCAGTCAACATTGCCATTTTCTACTCACCAGGATCTTCTCAAAGGAAATAGGACAACTCTTGCATCTGCAGAAATTCTCAATGACTTGAGATAAATAAACAGCAGGTAAGTCCCTCATTTCTTTTTGTCTTTTTGTTTTTTCTCTGGTTTTCGGTTCTGCTCGGCATTGGCCATGCTGCGGGGCATGATGAGCACACTGCCATCGCTGCCGTACTGGAGCGAGTACTCATTGGGCGGGTACGGCCGGCCCTCCTCGTCCCGGAGCTGAGTGAAGACCTCCTGGTACAGGCCGTGCATTTTCTGCTTCATCTGACGAATGGAGCGGATGAATTCCATCTTCTCCTTAAGCAGACGGGCTTTGTCACGCCTCAGCTCCTGCACGTTCTGCTCCAGGTTTATGATGGTGTCCAGTTTGCGCTTGCGGCAGTTCTGTGCCGCCATCTTGTTCTTACCACGCCTCCTGATGTCCCGGATGAGGGCCAGCTGAGCTTCACTCAGGTGATGCTTGGCTAAAAGCTCATTGAACTCCTCAACGGGAAGGTTTATGATCTTTTCATTGGAGAAGGGGATTTTCATTGCCCGAGCTCGCCGTTCATCGCGGCTCGCGTGCTTGTCCAGTAGGTCCTGGTGTGGCTGCAGCTTGGAGCTCTGTTTGTCTCTAATAGATTTCTTGGCATTGGAAAGGGGGAGCTCTGAGCGGTCGGAGAAGGCAGAGGACAGCGGCAGGTTGTACGTGTGGTTATGGCTGATGTTGTCGAGTTGTGGCAGGTTGTGGAACTGGGACGGGTCCTGGTAGCTCATGCGACAGAGTTTACTAAAGCCCGGCTGGTACCCCCCTGTGGCCCCGTCCTCTGTCTCGGCCGCAGCCACCTCAGAGTCAGTGCTGTAGCCCACAGCACCCTCTTCTGAGAAGGTGGCGGAGGTGGAGGAGGACGAGGCGGCGGAGGAGCAGGAGGTCTCGGAGCTGCTGGGAGAGGCCGGACTGTGACCAGAGTCCAGAGACAGACCAGAGTCTGAGTCCAGCTCGTCCTCCAGCTGAGAGGCCTGTGCCTGGCTGAAGCCCTCCTCCATGGCCAGGTCCAACAGGCTGATCTCGTCCAGCATGGACTCCTCCAGCAAGGCGCTGAAGGGGTCCGGGAGGAGAGGCGTGGTCGTGATGTTACTGGAGCTGTTCATGTGTGGCAGAAACACACCTGTCAGGTTAGTGGCTCCAAATGTGGAGTTGATGTTGGAGCTGTTGCCAGAGGCCAGTCTGAGCATGGGGGGGCGAGGTGTGATGCCAGAGTCAAACTGTGGGGTGAACATTTGGGGAAAGTCCTGGCTGCAGCTCGGGAGCGTGGCCTGGTGAAGGCTGACATCTTGGTTGATCGGTGTAGAGCGAGCAGCATGCGCAAAGTTACTGGTATTTGACTCAGGTGTGCCATTGGAAACACTCACAGAGGAGGTGTTCTGGACCAATGTGTTAGCGTCCATTGTCTGTGAAACAGAATGTTGGATGTTATTCTCATAAACAGATATGATTTGGTAAAATTGTAGTAAATAAATAAAATATGCTCATACCTGAAGCTCCATAATGGCCATAATGTCCTGCCACTGCTGTTCCAAGTCTAGCTGTGGCTCTGCCTGGGACAGTTGTGTGAGCAGCCCCTGAGAGGTGGAAGGAACATCTTCATTGGAAACTGCGGTTTCTGTTGCAACAACCGGTGCTGGAAACTGATGGACAAAACAAACAGGTTAAACACAAGACAATGAAGCCTTTCAGTGGTAATATGCATCATATTCTATATAACAGATAGTTATGTTTACCTCTGATTCTTGTCCAAATGGAAAAGTGGCCTCCAGCAGCCTCAGACACTCCTGAAGAGAAAGTGAAGTCTGAGAACCAAGAGCTGGGAGCTAACAAAACAGACACAATATCAATGATATTATCTAAAACAAAGCAACTGCAATTCCAGAATGCCAAAGACTAGTGGTCGTGTGTGATAATATACACTCCCTGTGTGTATTGTGTATTTAACCCACCCCACCCATATCACACTGTTTAAGACCTTTGTATCTCTAACCTGCTCTGGGATGCTTTCTCCTGTCTCGCCATCCACGGGTGGCGCTCCCTGTGAGTTCACTCCGTTCCTCCAGCGCTCCTGCTCTGTCCCGTTCTTGGTCTCCTGTGGGCGGGGCTTCTCCTCCTCTGTTTCCTTCTGACGGTTACTATAGTTGAACACTTCTCGTCCAGCACCAAGGTCAATGTCCTGTCGCCAAAGGATGTCTATCAAATCAATGTCCTAAATAAAATAAAACAGGTTCATAAACGATGGTGGTACTTTTCCACCTAAACAATACAGCAATACATAATTTATTCAAATGTGTTTTATTTTTATATTTGAGAATCCACATTGTAATTAATTTATACACTGATTTATACAAACTTCCAAATGCACATGTTTTCTTGTTACTTAATTATTAAATAGATGTTTATGAAAGGCAGACACATGATGAAACCAGAACATACACATTTAGGCATGGTGGTCGTCACATGATCAAACAAAACCAAATCCATTTGTTGAAACGCTCTAAAAACTAAATGACTCTCAGCATAAATAATAAAAGGCCTTTGATAAGCCCTGAATCTAAATGTAGGTTTTGAGAAAAAATAACAAGATTTTTAACACTTATTCTGTTGCAACTCAGGGCTTACAGAAAGTCATATGACCTAAGCTTAAATAAGACTTTTTAATTAAATCCTTTTATTATGGAAAAACCCTACAGAATGTGCAAATAAATAGGTCACATTTAAAGCAGTAAATGTCTCTCACTCTTACTAACATTTTTAAATTCTATGGTTGTTTTCAGTCTTCTTGATGTGAAAAGTAAAAAAAAAGCTGTCATTAAATTGTAATTAGCAAAATAATACTGTTGTGGATGTGTATTATCTCATGATCCAAGACAAATATCTTGTGTTAAAATCTGCATGTTAACTATACCTCTTTGGTGAGGTCATCGCCACCATTCCTGCCCTGCTCCTGGGTCTCCTCCGAGGCCACGGCTCCCAGGGTGCTCTCCGCTGCATTCAGGTTGTAGGTGGATTCAGGTGCTCCACTTCCTCCCCTCATGGCCGGGGTCGCGTCAGGGCTGTTGGCGCTGTCTAGGCCGGCCCCATTGTCCAGGGTGATTGTGGGGCTGGAGTGGCTGGCGGCGGACACCACGGTCTCCGAGTCGCGGTGAACCAACCAGGTGTTGAGCTCAGGCGTGGGCACAGAGAGGCGATCCAGCTGCCGCACCTGGTTTAGAAGTCGGCGTGTGGTAAAAAAGTGATCCAGGTCCACACTTTTTGGATGGATGCCATAGCCGTCCAGTGTGTTGCGAAGGTTGTGGAACTGGGTTTGGGTGTAGGCTGAGCTAGGGCCCAGGATGATCTCTCTCAGTGGGGGCAGCTGATTGTTTAAATAGGTGTCTACGTCCACACGCACCCCAATAAGACTCAGAAGGATGGTGAACTGAATCAGGCCCTCTGTGAAGTACTTTTTCAGGTAAAGCATTTCTTTACAAAGGAACAAAAAGTGAAAGTAAAAAACTAAAATAAAAATGGGGCCAGTTACTTTGGATCACTACTTTTGCAATACTAGGGGGATAAGGTGGACACATGAATGTAAAAATACTTTAGGATGTCAGGGGAACAAGCAATCAAATCAGCAGGGGAATTTTTAAAATGTCATATGAACAGATGGTCCAAATTTAAATGTCCTCTTCGTGAGAAAACTTAGTTCTTCATAAAGTGTTCCTGGTCCAACACCTGACAAAAGTAAAAACATCATTATTCTAAACTGAATATTGAAAGAGAACTGGACATAGGAACAAAGCTTTGAAACCTCGATGAACAAACCTACTTGCCTCTACATTACGCCCATATTATAAAGATACACTTGCTGGATCTCCCACCAGTCCATCCTTGAAAGAAGTGAACGGTTCACTACTCACAGTACAATGCTGGGAGTTCAGCAGGCTACAGATTAAAACAAAGCTCAGGCATCACCCCACCCTTGACAGGACAACTACTTCGTATGGGAGCTGGTGAAGGTGAAAGAGGGAGTCTGGAAAGCTCGCAGCCTAGCATCTCTCTGACAGCGGCGTTTGGTGACAGCACGGTCCCTCCCTCTTCACAGCTGCGCCTATCATCGTCCGTACGATGTTAGCTTGTAGCCACAAGCATGTATCTGCTATTGCTATGCTGTTACACCGTTATAAAAGCACTACTGCGCTCTCTGCATTAGGCGCGGTTGGCATAGCCAGTACACGGATCCCTGGTTGTTTATCGTGGCATATGCATCACCACTTATATTTTCTTTTTGGCTTTCTACTTCCCGTTGTTGCTAACATCAAGCAATCTCCCTAGCAACAAGTGGAGCAAAAATGAGAGGCAGGGGTGAGATCCAATCACAAGCAGCATTTAATGTGACGACACATAACCCGAGTGTCTGTAGGCCAATCAAAACTCGAAATGGGCGGGGCCTGGCCGTCATGCTAAACTACTTCACACTACTGTACTACAGTAAACTAGCTCTGAAAGCTATCCACAGCTAATTACGAGTCTGACACTGCCCCAGATCATTAAAATTACACAAACCACAACATGAATTATATGTCAAGGCTGCAAAAAATGCAAAACTATTGTCATAGCAGTGGTTATCTTATAAATCGAAAGAGGGCAACGGCTCACGCACTCACGTTGACAGATAAGTTTTATTTATACTTACACGTACGCATCAAGAATTTGCAGCAGTGTCTTCATGGCAGCCTTTTACATCACCCAAGAGCTACTGTAACGCACCACACTGCTCAGCATCACACAATTCCCGAAGAAAAATCACCTTAAACCTCAGCTTCATTCAATGGCCCACCATGACTTGCAGAATTGCTAGCTGGCCCGGCTGCTAGCATAGCAGCGCCGCTTGACATCAAAACACGCTTCCACACAGAGCATGCGTAGAACATTCTAGTGCTAAGCTTTCATCAGCCGCTGAAATTCCCCATGATGATAATAATAGACTTTATGCATGCAGACTTGCAAAACTAGACTTGATACAACTATGCAATACATTACTTGGACAGCCCTGGGTGGCATGCAACAATTATATGTTTGCATTATAGCCTTATATTTGTATTTAATACCAATGAAAAAGGAAAAATATCCATTGATTATATTAAATATGTATTTTATTTCTGTGATTAACAGAACGTAAAACGATCTCATACATTTCTAAATATTGACACCCATTAAGTTGACTGGTCTGTTGTGGTACCGCTTTGAAATATCTGCTTCAATCTGCAATAGAAAATAAAACAGTCAAATTGATAGTGAAGGCAAAAGGGAAAGCACATTAATTAAATCTTACTAGTTTTTGTAGTTCCTTTGTGCATCCCATTAAGAGGTCAACACGAGGCTCCAACCTGCACTGCTCTTCTAGAGTTTCTTGTCTCCTTTCAACCATAGCAGCACTTTTAAGCATTAAAACATCTGCCTGTTTGAGCTTCTGTCTGAGCATCTCTGTGACACGTTCCACATATCTAAAATGAATATAAATGTGTTATAAACATGTTATTAATAGATACATTATTAAGAGTGGGTGGTACCTTGGTGAGGCGAGTATCATGAAGAGATGCTGCATTCGAAGAGTGGTGAGCCGGCCAAGAATACTGCGCACTTCTGATAACATTTCCTGGACATGTTCAGAGGTTTGGCCTTGAATCACAGAAGGAGCCATCTGAAACTGACTCATGGCCACTACGTCCCCCTCTTCACTCATCTCAGTAAGACGTTGCATAAGGAATACTTCAAGCTACACAAGAAAAAAAAACATAACGTGTGCAGTTCATGTGTGCATGAATCCACAAATAAAAATGTTGTACTATCTATTAAGCACTGTACTATCTAATCAGCATATTGGTATGTGATGTTAGAATTTAATCATGATCAAAAACAGAAAACATTTTTACCTCCATTAATTCATCAATAAATTGGTTACGTGATTGTGGATTTTCCAGAATTGACAAGGCATCCTCACCCCTTGCCACACCATCTGGACCTGTACCGTGACATAAATGCTAAATGATATCTACAAATGTTATGAAATGATTTGTGAGGTATAATAAAAAATCTTCTTACAGTCTGTGCCAGCATCTACAACTTCAATTTCAATGGGAGCTGGTCCACCATCGCCCCAATCAATGCCACTTGTATCTGCATCCTGATTAGATAGAACGACATTATTCCATGACAGGTTCTATGTGGTTATGTATGAGAAAAAGTACAAGTCTGGCCTCTTACCCCAGACTCAAGACTAATGCCCCAGTCAATTCCCTCTTCAACCTGAATGCCATGGTTTAGACCCTGAACATCTGAGCTTGTACCAAAGTCTCCCCAGTCAATCTACAAAGAATAATCTATCACAAAATGTTTTGGAGAATAAAAAGAGAAAATCTATAATGTTAAAGGACACCTACTGATCCATCTGTTACTGTCTCTAGAGGGGCCTCTTCCACCACTGGTCTTTCGACGACTGTGGGAACTTTGCCCGTTCTCCATTCATAAAATGTAGCATTTCCTTTCTTCTGGACAAAAGTCAACATGGGCAGTACTGGTTCAGACCTATGAATGATTATAAAATTGGAATAAATATATGACCACAGGTTAATATAGAATGTAGTGTGTATGGGTCCATATAAACACTCTTTAATAAGTATGTTACTGGTTAATAACATAACTGAATTATGTGTTGTATTTACTGTAAAACTTTATAATATTATACTGTAATTAATTATACTTACCACTCACACACAAAGTTGGTAAATGCAGTGTAAAGATTAATTTGTTCATCTAACTTTGCAGCATCTCTGCCAACTTCATCAAGTACTGCTGGTAGATCTTTGACAAGGGCTTGTAGCTCACGAGCTACATTTTCTCCCTAGTAAAAAATTAGTATGTAAAAAGTTAAGTTCATTATGAAGTTGTACATATCTATAATGCTTTTGGACTTACTGTGATGCCATATTGTTTACACGCAGAATAATATCGCTCCCTGAGGTCTGCAGCGGAGCTCTGACACTCCACTTCCCGCCGGCTCAGCTCCTGCTGCAGCTGCTGCGCTTTGGCGATCTGCTTTCTCAGGGCTGGACCTTCATAACTGACATTACGACTCAGCAAACTGGCCAGCTCAGCTACAATGGAAAACACAGTATGTAAAGCAATACAATTTCAAGCAAATCAATAATAATAATATATCAATTAAGTGTATAGAATATTAAATAACCAAAAGAATCTCTGATTATGTAACAAGTCATTTCCACATTAATTTGGTGGTGTTTTACGTTCAGATATTTTCCACTCTTTACCAGGTAGAGCCACGTTTTAGACAGGCAACAACAAAACGACAATACAGACTTACCCAAATAGACACTGTCTGCTTCATAAAGGGTAACAATTTCTTGCCAGTCCTAACAGAAAGAAAACAATTAGTTGGCCTTTGCAACTTCATTCTAACTTGAAAGTGTATCACTGTGTCATTTGCCTTCATTCTCTGTGATGAATATCTGCCAAAGATGTTTTTAGACGAAGCTTCTGTCTTCCTCAGAACTTCCACAATTCGTATGCAGTGAAAATAGTGGATGTCTAAAAAGAAAGATAAAGAAATTAAGACAATATTATTCACATACACACAATGATTAAAAGGAGATGGGGGTTTAAAAACACATACAAGACCCAGAAAGAAGCGCCTTGATCTCCTCATTCTCTGGCATGTCCTGAATGGCCGCATTGATCTTCTCTCTTATTTCTTTTATTGCACTTTGCCATTTCAAATTGCAGTGGCGTCTGTCCACGAGCCAGTCTGTACACACGATTACGCAACAAAACCAAGTGAATAAAATTTCTACATAAATTACATTTGTCATGTAGAAATTATTAGGTGTCCAGTTTGTGAGTCTTACCTAGAAGTTTGCTGGTTTGTATATCAATTGGGAGGTTTTGTATATTCTGCTAAAATAAGGAGAAAACAGGTGGTTCATTTTAAGAATTACTAAGTCGCGTGGGGAAATAAAGGTTAAACATTAGTATAGGTATAAGTTAAATGCTGTGGGAGAGCATCTGGATAAAATATATTTCTGCCAACTAGACAGTCAATACTAGCTTAAATTGTTAGCAGTGGTTAGCTGTAGAACGATGAATGCAAAGTTAACAACCTTACCTCCATTATTTCGTTATAACTGTAAAATCGGCTACGTTTATCCTCTCTGTAGTTACATATTATAACAGTTTGAATGTTTTCCTGTGCAGGATTATTCGCACCATCTGTTTCCCAATGTTTGTGACACGTTACGGGAGTGGGAACCAATGAGAGACGACATTGTTAGAAAAGGACCAATGACATGCGTTTTTACTGGAGACAGTAGGTGAGTGGTGAATGTTTTTTGCCCTGATTTGTGGTTGCAAGTTCATTTGTTTTGCCACCAGAGGACTCTCTTATCAAAGTTGTTAGAACAAGATGAGCGTGGTGGACTTTATACCGCATATGTGCAGCAGGTCCTATAGTTAAACACTTGAGAACAACTACTGGGCCTCTATATAGGCTATTGTTTGTCTATGTCTGTGCAAATTATAGGCTGCAGATTGCCCCAAACCGAAAGCACACGCACATGTTAAGTATTTTCAATGGTCTAGAATAGCTGGGCACCTAAGCATTGTTTTGTATTATTTAGTAACCATTGTATCAGGAGACATTTTGTTCTTTCAGGTTTGTTGGCTTCTTTGTTCATCTTTTTTTTTTCTTCTTTTTTTCTTTTGGTGTGGCATTAAATCTTTAGTGTCTGCCCTATTTTGAGGTAATTTGAATGTTAACCAAACTTGCAAACTAAGTGTCCATTTACTGTGTGTGATTCACGTAACCCATGCAAAACATCACAAGCACTTTCCCTTGTTCATACTCCCCTTTGTCTGTGTCTAGTCTTTGTTCTTTTAGTTTAGTTGTAAAAGCAGGGAGGGTTATGTAATAACACTCAAAACTCAAATACTGCATGTGCTTTCTTCTATGGCCAAATTCCATGTTCACTGGTTTTAGAGTGTAACTGATAAAAGTAATTTATTTCCCACTTTGGAGAGCTGCCCACCTTTTCAAAACAGACACTTAAACTGTATTGTCAGGAGTAGAGTAATCTTGGAGGGGACTAGGCAGGACCAAAGAAATGTCTGAGTAAATCACATGGTAGTTGCAACATTAAGTCCCAGGCACTAATGGGCGGGCTTTGAGGTGTGTTTGAGGAGGGTGTGGGCTGTTCTAGTGGAGGACACACTGGGACAAGGTGAGACAGAGGCGCCAGGGGAAGAAGGGATGCTGCTCTTTCACCTGAGAAGATAAAACAACATTACTGAGAAAGAGTGACGAACCAGGGAACATGGCTGCATTGTTTGGTGTTTGAGTCTACTAAAATAATCTCTTCTTTATCAAGGTAAGGGACATTTCTGCTAATGAGACCTGTGTTACTTTGATCTTTGTGCTGCAAATGCTCCAAAGCATAGTGTCGTGATGAAACTTTTGAACATTAGTACAAAAAGTACCAGAAGTAACTGACAGTTCTTCAGCCTTTTGTGTCAAACATTGATTTCAAAATATGCTTTAGAATAATATGAAATATCTTAAAAAATTATTATACTGAAATTTCTGATGCTGTACTTTTAATATATAACACACTATAAATTGTAATGGAAAACAACATTAAAATGTATAGCTAACTAAAAGCAGCAATAAAACAGAGCATTTCAAACAATATTAATCAAAGGATTTCCATGCTATAATAAAAAGTAATTAAGTTTAACATATGACAATTGTTATCCCCAAATGAAAACACATTATTCTTTTTTATGAGCCATGCCGAGGAAAACCTATGAAACCTGAATATCTGATGATGACTTCATTAGTGGCCCTTATGTCCTTGTACCCACCTCTACATAATGCCCCAAGTGTCGTCAGATCTAGTTAGTGATTTCCAAATGTGCCCAAAGTGTTATTCTGTCCCTCATAATCTGTGAAGCTTAGCAGAGGCTCACCCATACATAACAAAATACATAGTAACTTATTAAAGAGAACTATGGAGGGCCTCCTTTAAGTCAACACCACTTTTTGTCTCAAAGGTCACATCTAAGTCAAACATGGCTCACTAAATGAAAAATGCATCTATATAATTTCATTTTTATCATCTTAACTTCATGTGAAAGTGCTATAATGATCCTTAGTTACTTGTAGACACTGACACAGCAACACTATGCAAATACTTTGTAAATGTTTGTCAAGGAGCAGAGATTTCTGGAAGACATTAAGAAAATACTAGAAAACAATTTCATATCACGCTCTTAAAGCATAAAATTATACAATGTCATGGGAATTGGGACCAGGAAGTAAGGTTTGGGATGTTACAGCTTGCAAGCCATAAAACGAATAACAATTAATGCTATGCGCGGCAGAATCTAAGTTATCTCCTTTAAAAAACACTGACTAGGATTTAAACTAAGGGTTTTCACAGCATTGTATTAAAACAGCTCAGAGGCTATTGTCTGGAGGATTTACACACAATTTAAATCTTGCACGACTTGTGACTCAACATCAGGGAGAGCAGATAAGAGTGTTCCTTGCAAAGGGCATGTGTATTTGCATAGGTGCTACATGATAAAATGACCACACAAAAGGGAGCCATGTTGATTCTTACTTGTCAGCTTCAAATCAGTGTTTGATGTCTGTCTGCTTTTCAAATGCTGCTGCGTGGAGCTTTTGCAAGGGTTTTCTTTATACTAGATTTATTACAAGTCATAAGGAAGTTGGTTTGCATTTTAGTAAGTGATTAACAAACTCTCAATTGAGCAGATGGGTTTATTTTCTAGCATGGTTTTGCCCTAACAAGTCAATTGTGTGGTGATATTTTATTTACATATGATGCCCTTCCTTTTAAATCATCATCATCAGCTACATGCACCACAGTGTTAGCACGAAAAATACAATGTTATAGAATCAACTTGTACAAAGACACTAGGTTGCGCATGAAGCCACCTATCAAACATCAAACGTTATTTCAATGTGTGGGCATAATTGTGTCTGTGTCCTGTAAACAGTAGCTTGATCAGAGTAAGATGTGAGTTCAAATATCAGATCTCATGTGAGGGACAGAGGATAGGGGCCTTATTAATTTATCAGCTGAGCGCCCCAGTGTCAGGTGTCATTGCCCATAAGGATACACCTGGTAATTATAGTAGTGTAAAGGGCACTACACCCACATGTGTCATTCAGTTACTGTTGCTTTCTAAGGATTCTGTTGTTAGTTACAATAGAAACAATAAAAATACACAAAATGACCCAGAGAGAGCCACATATAAAGGAAAATATAATTTTTGAATAACTAATTTCATTTAACAGTGAATAAAATATAGATTTTTATTGCTACACATAGTATACTGTAATATAACTAAGACCTAAACTTATATATAATTAAATATAATTTCTACAGTAACTACAGTGCCCAAATTAATTTAGAATAGTTTAAAAAGGAAAACTGGAAAATTCTAGATGACGGATTTCCCCTCACAGTAATAAAGTCCTATATTGTGCTCATTGAAATGTGTACTTTACCAGGGAATAGATTTTATACTGGTTGCCAGCCCACAACCACAAATACTGATTGTCTGTGGTTTTTCCATGGTAGGCGATGTGGAAATTTGAGCCATTTTAAACATGAAGTCTAAGGGCTAATAAAAATGACCTCAGTTTTGGACATTTTTTTTTTTTTTTTTTTTAGAACCATATTTAATCAGTAACCTTCTATCTACTGTTGATCCATGGCAGTTATTAGAGTTTGATATCAAGTTGTAAAAGTTATTTGCAGAGATAGCCCATCCCTTGTGCCAACCAAAACAACCATGATCTTTGTCCTTCAGGTTGACTGGTCTGTTTCGGTGCCATGGCAGACCCAAGCTGGTGGAAACTGACCTTCTCTCGCAAAAAGAAATCTGAGCCTAAAGTCTTGTATGAGATACCAGCAGAGCATGGCAGCAACAACGGGAACAAAGAGCATTCAAGCAATAATCCCCCTCAAGAACATATGGACAGCCAGTTAAATGCCAGACTGGAGAAGATCGTAGACAAATCTGCCACTAAGGGGCGTCATGTCAAGGTGTCCCACTCCGGCCGCTTTAAGGAGAAGAAGAGGGTGCGTGCAACTTTGGCTGAAAACCCTACCCTTTTTGGCGAGCACACAAAAGACGAAAACCATAAAAACAACAAACATGCCGATAAATAACAATGAAAATGTCTGACAATGAAGGTACAAGCACATCCAAAGTGGCTGTAAGGTGCACAGTGGGTAAACAGCCTGCTCGTTTCTATGGCCACGCCCAAACGATACTGACACTCACAGACTCAACAGCAACTGATAAGAACTCAAAGCCCTAAGCCAGCAGCCACTATGTCTTATCCATTTTGTATAGGTTTTATTTTTAAAACCTTTTGCGCTGTCTGTTCTGTAACTTGAATTATTTTGGTGACATGAAGGTAAATGCCTAAATTTATAGCAATTATAGATTTTTTTTGTATTGCAGACAATCTTTTTGTATGCATTTTACAATCAGCATATGCAATGTTTTTATTTCAGGAAAAGAAAAAATAAGAACTTTAACAGACTGTAGATATTACATAAGATTTTGTAAATTATATATTTGCAGATATCAAAATGGAAATGATGGAAATTTATAGTAATAAATGGTTGATTATTGTATATTTTACTGTTATTGTGTTATTAGTATCATTATCAATACATTTCAACATCAATAATTATATAAGGCCTATAAGAAATCAAGTTTATTATATCTCCTTAATATTCGGGGCCTCTTTTCAGTCTTTTTGCCCTGAGTCCCAGAATATCTTTTGGCTGGCCTACTATGAGTTTTAATTTGATCATGATACTTCTCAATATTTTATATCCTCTTAGTATTTCAGCCCTTTTTTCTTAAAATGTCTCACTAAAATGACTCAATTCAAACTGAATCTGTTTCTGAACCCTTTGGAGCACAGACAAAGGCCTCTGTTGTCCTCTAACCGTACAACAACTGGACAAACAGAAAATAATTAAGAAGTAGTACAAGGGCCCCGATCAGCCCCCTCGGAACATGAGCAGATATTATGATAAACATATGATTGTTATGTCCAAGTTTCATTAACTGTTTGAAGATAGTTTTAGGTTTATTATTGACGTAATATCGATCTATAGATTAACCTAATTAACTCGCAGCTTGTTACTGTGAGTGACATCATGCCTGAGGTAACCCAGTCACGTTTATTTTATTAACGCCTCTTGTTGTCATGGCTACAGTAAGGGGACACTGAAACTGGACTCTATCTTGCTCAATGCTTCATAAACCACAAACTGGACTGAAACTATAACGCTTATTGGCTTAAGTGTTTTTCAGGAGTTACCTGTCTCAAAGGATTTTCACTGTATATAGTATATTTGTGTTCCTCAAGTATACGATTCAATTAAGGGTCACTGGTCAAGTAGGTCATATTTAATTTCTGTATATATAAAACTGTTATGTTACCATGTGTTATTTATGAAACCAAATTAAGATTAAGATAAGATTTCTAAGGAAATTGCCCCACTAAAGTAGTTCACTTCTAATGAAAGATGTGCCACTTCTTAACAATATCTGATTTTATTTCCATATTGAAACCAAATCCAGTTCATCTTGATGAACCATTACCAATTCTCAGTTCAGATCTTATCATACCACTTTATTGCTATCTTCAAATCATAAAACCACATAAAAATTGAACTTTATTATTGGCACATTTAGACATGACTGTACACAAATTTACACAAATGATTTACATTTCAGGCAGTGCACTGTGTAAACCCAGCACTTTTAATCTGTGTTAAAAAGCAACTGGAATTAAGACTACAACAATAACAACATTGCCATATTAGAAAATATTTTCTTTTTTTTTTTTTTCATATACCTTCCACCTAAAATTTCACAAACTACCGGTAATTGCTTTTGTGCTTTTGAAATGCATTGTTATTGTGTAACTAATTGTTGAACATTATTTGACATGAAGTGGAGTTTGATCTGACCTAGGACACTTTAACCACTATATTCATAATACGTTCTATAATTCATAGAACGCCAGAGGATGTGAAAAACAAGTAACAATGTAAAAATGTACTATATTGTCAGGTGTATTTTAATACCACTTATAGCAGCAATCATTAACATCAAGTATTTCCCATTGGATTTCTAATATAGCTTGTGATTTTTCTCTATTTAAAAAAAAAACAAAAAACTATACTTTTTTTTAAGGACACAGTCTTTGATACACCCATCCTCCCTCGGCCATGTGCTGAAACTCTCCTTGCTCCTCTCCAGGCTTCAGTTTGGTAAACACAATTCGGTCATGAAGCCGGTTGGTCTGACCCTGCCAAAACTCGATCAGGTAAGGTTTGACGATATAGCCTCCCCTGTTGGCAGAAGAGAGCGAGAGTCAACAATTAGTATAAAAGCGGAATCATTTTCTAAACTCTATTCCGGTATATTTATAGTAAGAGTAAGTGTAGAGTGGAGTAATTAAACTAGACCCTCAACTGCCATAAGTGTGTGTGCTAATATTTTAATATATTTTGGCAATAAAACAAATAAAAACTGTAAAACTAATGTCATATCTTTTCTTTCTCTGGCCAAACTACACCAATAACAAGATAAAATCAAACTGTCCAAACTATGGCCTGTATATACTGTATATATACAGACAATTGTGTTAAGACTTGATGGATCTTGGATCTTTGTTATTACAATATATTGTGATGTGTGAGCTACTGTACCTAAATAATTTCCCTTGTGGATCAATAAATTTTTTCTAAGTCTAAGTCTAGAAATAGCCCTTGAAACAATAATTGGGTTACAATGATGCTTACCAATAGTCAGGCATCGGCACTTCAGTGTCTTTGTACTTCTCCAGTAATTCAGCATTTTTCTGTCTGAGGTACTGAAAGACCACATTATAATATAAGATGACTGTAAATATGTTTTAGAGGCCTTTTTTTATTTATTATGTATAGCCACTTACGTCTCTGTTGGGGACTGGAGTGCTCTGTCGGCTCACCACAGCCCCGATTTGACTGGTTTTTGGTCGTGAATGGAAGTAGTCACATGAGGCCTGGTATGGGATCTTTTCTACATTACCTTCAATACGAATCTGGAAATGATATGGTATAAGTAGATACAAATAGTTTATCAATCTGTCTATAATATTTTAATGACAATATTATCATTGTTGGTTTCAGTCTAGCCTAGCATGGCATTTGAGATGACTGGGAGTGATGGGATTTATATTTAGCAATAGGCCTATGATCAGCCAGAATTCAAACTGAGGTGTATATGTTTATCATTATCACATTATACGGTTACAGTTAAGAGCCTATATTTGCCCTATTAGAAATTGATGTGTTGGATTATAAAATTGTTCATAACAGCAAAGTAAAAAGTTTTTAGATTCGGTGCTGTGCTGTTACCTGTCTGTTCAGAGGTTCCCAGTAGAACACCATGCATATGGATTGCTTTCCTGCAACAAACCAAACAATAAGAATGACATACAATGATGCGTGCTGATGCCAGAGACAGTATGCTCACCAATTCAATACCCTTTCTACTCTCATAGTTTGAAAAGAAGCGGAAGCCTTCATTGTTGTAACCTTTTAGAAGTACCATTCGAGCAGATGGACGGCCATCCCTGTAGAGACAGTAGACAAAAGTAGTGTTTAACAACGGGCTAAGTCAATATTTGTGGTGCACTTGCACGTTATTCTTCTTACTTGGAGGCAGTGGCTATACACATAGCGTTAGCTTCTCCAATTTCAGGGCACTTTGTCGCTTCATCAAACCAGTTTCCAAACTGTGTGATAGGGTCCAGGGATGCAAGCTGACTTTCCTCAAAGCACTATAGAAGACATTACATTTTTACAGATGTGGCAATTTATATTTACAGAGATGTAAAAATGTAGGCAATATCCCTGTTGCTAAATACTGCAGAAAGAGGAAACACATAAAAATCATACATCTCAGATAAATCATACATGTGTGACTGACATGTTTGTAGCATATTTTGTGATAAACCGTATCAATGCAAACATCAAATTTTGTTTTTATTTTTTAAATCGTGTTATGCACGTCGATGCTCATATTGAAGTATGTGTAAAAGGTCAAAAGAGGATGCAAGCTAGTACGATGTGCCTGAACACAAATGAGCCGCATTTAGATAGAACTGTCAGTGATCAGCACAAGCTACAGCAGAAGGTCGTGTGTTATAACCTTAAAACTAATACTCACGTCCTCATCTCCTTTGTATTTTTTTCTCATATTACTCAGGTCCATGTCTGTGGAGTGACGCGTAGATTCTGTGCAAAAAGTCTGCGAATAAACACGGGAGTTACGCACTGTCAATGAGCCATAAAGACATTGATTTTTACCAAATAAACACGTAGTTCTCAATAAATTGCTACTGAGTGTGCGTCTCATGCCTGTCAAATAAAACCGACGTCACTGCGCTTGACTTACGTAAAATATGTTATGCAAAGAAAGTTTTGTAATTATTCTGACTCGTTTCTTTTTCATTCTGAAATTCTTTGTACTCATGTTTAATTCATGTAAAAGATATGAGTGGGTTGTAAATATAAGATAAAAATTTATTTGGAGGAGAGGCACGTGATAACAACTTCCTGTTTTTTGTTTTTTTTTATTCAGTCAAAGATGGCGGCGACCTTGTGTTCGAAAATAATACCGAAGCAAGGTAATTTACCATGAAACAAAGACAATTTCATTACATTTTATTATATTAGGTCCTTATACTACACATAAATGGTTCCCCTTTCTTTTTGTGGCCTGTTTCTTAAGATAACTTCGTATTTTTGCTTTAAATATCATGTTTAGCATGCATGGCTGTCCAGTCTTATTTCAGTAGATCCATGAGGATATTTGATGATGGGCTGTGCAGGCTAAATCAAAGTAAAGCGAGAGTTACTTGAAACTTGTAAGACACCTGGTCGTGTAACTAGAAGATTCACGTTGAAAGCTGCACGTGTTGTAAAAACATAATGCAAAAGTATGTTGTAATGTGTGTTGTTCACTTTCTGTAAATGTCTCTTTGTGTTTTATTAGGATGGCGTCCCCTGGCGCAGAGTGTCCGACACGGCTCCAAAGCGGTGACTCGCCACAAAAAGCCTATGCACTTTCTCAAACAGAAACTTATGGCTGTGACAGAGTACATTCCTCCCAAACCTGCTGCACCCAAGGGCGCTTATCCAGCCGAGACCATACAAGTGAAAGAGGTGAGATGGTCCTGGGTTATGTATTTATAAATAACAAAAGCTTATATAATTACTGTTGATTCATCATGTTCCAGGAAAGTGGTTTAGCATTACTGAAGAAGAAACAGATAAAAGAAGCTTTTCAGGCCAATAAGATGATTGCTGTGGCTCAGAACAGTGGCAGTAATGTGGAAGACATCTTGATTCTCAAATACAGGCTTCATAAACACAACATCAGCGTCAAATTCTTCCCCAATGAGGTAAATGAATGTGTATTCTACTTGCTATATTCTGAAACAGACCCTTTCCCTGTGATTGTACATGACCTTGTTCTTAATCTGTGTGCCTTGCTTTCAGATTATGCGATCATTTCTAAATGACAGTAAATATTGTAATATGGCCCCCTTGTTCTGTGGTCCCACTGTGCTGCTTGTGAGTAAAGAACCTAAAGTGAAGGAACTTTTGAAGACTGTGAAAGGCAGTCCACAGATCACACTTTTAGGTAAGATACCTACTATTTTTTACTATTTTTATTTATAGATATGTAACCGCAAAAAACACTTGCCTTTATTTTTATTTGCCTTTAACTCAGAATTCATTCATCAGATTATCATCATCATCATGGTGTTTCATTTTCTTGATACACTATATCCTCCCTTGAAACTGAGGAAAGATTAGTGTTTATCACCTACATATATACTGGAAGTATCTAATGCTTCCTCCTTGCTTGAGTTACCTTCTAATTTATTGTGCATAAAAGAGATTAAAAAAGAAAAATGTCTGTAGACCTTAACTTTAAATTTGGACTCCCAGGAATTCAGTGGTAAGAGCTCACAAACCAATAAGGATTACAATTCATTCTCAGTACATACTGTCAGTGTGTACTTAGGCAAGACACTCCCCTTGCCAGTGTATAAATGTGGTGGTTGGACTCTTCCTAACATTCCATGGCAGCTTTCACTATTAGTAGCTGAATAATGGATTGTAAAATTACTTTGATTGTTTGGCAAAATGTCATATAAAAATTGCATTTCATTTATGTAATGACTTTTTTATCTACATATAATTTACTTTACAGGAGGCTGTGTGGAGGACTCCATTTTGAGCACACAGGGTCTGTTGAATTACTCCAAACTCCCATCGCTGACTGTGGTTCAGGGTGAGCTGGTGAGCGGTCTGACCATGTTGACGTCTCAAACCGCTGCTTTGCTTCAAAGACACCCGTCGCACCTGTCGGCCCTCCTCACACAGTATCTCAAACAGCAGAGTGGAGACACAGAGGCAGCTACTGCATCTGGAGAATCATCGTGAAGATTTTCAACAGATATCTATGAACTAACGGAAACTAGAACACTTTGGGCTGCTTGGTCAATATGGGGATGTCCTTTTGGAATTACTAGACCAATTGCCATCTTTCGGACTTGACTGTGGACATTTACAAATTAATGTAATTTAAAATCTATTAGCAAGTTCCAATTAAAACTCTTAACTCTCGCTTGTTTATCTCGCTCATTGGCATTTCAAGAAGTTGGAATACAGGGCTTCTTAATTATAAAAAAGTCACATTGGGGTAGTAATAGAATACACTTTTGAAATAAGATGCACCAGGTTTGTAGGAGCAGAATAAGACTGCACCCTGTTTACAACAGAATTGAAATAGAGTATCGTTTTTCATATTAGTTTTTTACTGGTAACAATAAAACATTGCTCAGCCCAGTTAGAAAGTATCAAAGAGTATCAGTACTGTGTCATATATCTGCTCAGCAGTGCCAGTTGGACAAAGGCATAAGTGGCATCATAAGAACCATGCCAGTCTGTATAACCTAGAGTGGTCACAGATCCCGACACTTTAATCTGCAGATTACGGAATGTTAATCTGGGTCAGTTCATCTAATATGGTTTACTCCATTACTTTGTCTCTGCTGCATTTGAGCACCTTCCACCTCTCCAGCACTAAGGGATTAATGTAAAACCCTTTTCACAATACACTGACTTTACTGAACCACTAGATGCTGCTGCAAACACATCGGTTATCAATTGTCCGTTGTCTTGTATAATGTACTGTAATAGAGTTTGCTATTTTACAGGGTTTTGTTTAACAGTTTTTTGGCAAGTATGGAACTGGAGTAAGCAGTTCGTTACTAGAAACCGTAAGCATGATATTGAAACTATGGTGATATTTTATATTTTATTTATATTTTATATATTACTGCTGTTGCATATAAACTTGCTGGTATAGAATTTAAAGAAATCTATATTTTGTTTTCTGTTAAAATGTTATTTAATAGTAAAAAGTGAATAAAAGGAACTGATCGTTTACTAAAAATGCCTGTACCAAAGGTTTTGAAATTGAAACCGTTAGTTGTGTGGGCCCTCTGCAACAGATATGAGCAGACTATATCGTCTGTAGACGATGTATGCAGAGTCAGTGGTTGGATTTACCCCGCTGTATATCCCTGCTGCAGCTAGACACCAAGTAATTCCCGTTAATACGGATAATGCCCAGGACACATTGCGCGCTGCCTGCGACTCACAGCTCTCCTTGGAGGATTTGGAGGGTGCTTGTGTCACCCACCAAAAGAAAAGGGACCGTGGACAGAGATTTTACTCCACCATAACAAGAAGTAACTTGTGGATTCAACATGTAGCTATCGGCTTTTAATCATTTAGGCAGCACCGTGAAGTTTATTTTGATTCATTTCTTACGTGATGTAGTTACGTTTTTACGCACAGGAATCATGAGTTAGTAAGAAGTTCTCAGACGGTGCAACTTGGTGGAGATTTGGAGGTATGTGTTATTTTAAAGTTAACATGTAGTGTTTGTATATACGGATCTGTCTACTCACTGTGTCTTTGAATTATTGTGTATTTGACCAATATAAATAAACCATAGCATAAGTAGTTAAGCCCACGCCTTTTAATGATAGGCCAGACCACAATTTAAAATTGATTTGAATTGATTTATTTGTAGAAAAAAATATTACATGCACAGATAAAGAACTAATAAAGCAAAGTCAGATGAGAAAAAATATTGTTCCAAAAATATAAGAATAGTTTTTATGCTGGTCTTTGTGTGAAGCAAGCTCAGAAACGCACAAATCCTTTCATCCTGTTTCCACCGTGCGCTTTGATCAGCAGAGAGGTCACTCACTGTCATTCTCGATCCTTACGTAACGACATACGTGAGATCCACCACTATGAACTAATGGACATGGCTATTCTTAGTACATACCAACTTAATGCCTTTGTATGTGCATTTAATTCATATGACAAAATAACATCTCATAAAACGTTTTCTTCTGCCTTTTGAAATTGCCCATAAATCAAAGTATTAAAAATGCAAATCTACTACTAATAAATTTCATGTTGTGAGATTAATGTTTTATCGAATTATATGTGACACGTTGCCAAACGTGCTTTGTATCACTGTTTAAGAGGTGAAGCTAAAAACATCCCTTTGAAAACCAATTAAGCAGTGAGTAATCCTCCTCTTAGGTTGCATGGCTACTGTAGTCTACTGTAAATCATAAATGAATTAAAATAGATAATAAACTAAACTAATTCACTTTTGTTAACCTGCACACATTTTTTATGCTATCTTCTAATTTCAGTTTTATATATAAATAACAAAAAGATAAAACTTATATTATGCAATAGAAGACCACACAATTAATTGCACTCATAAAGACATTCACTAATAAAAGTGTTATAGTTGGACTATTTTAAATGCCTTTTTCATAAAAAATGTGCACCGGAAGCAGCTATGAGTGAAAGTATGAGAGCCGGTCTATTCAGGGCCTTGAACCTGACCTCGAGGTCTCACCTTTTTTGTTAAATGGATTAGAGTCTTCCTCTTTGCTGTGCCTATTTAAACATGATTGTCACACACTGTATCCGTTCTATGTTATGCTCCTAACATTTCCTCTGATGGCAAATAATTGAAGTAAGTGTCATAAATCTGTTACAGTAAAACATCTGTCACAGTAAAACATTTTAAAACAGAATATATTGCCACAGATAAATATTGCGATAAGCAATACTATTGAAACTACTTTATGCCACTGACACAATGCAGGATAATTCCTGCATTGCAATGATTGTCTGTATGAGCAGCAACAAATACATTGCAGAAGGAACTAATAATTAGCCACAGACGTTATTTATTCTACTCTCTACAGCTCAAACTTGGTTATTGCAGAAAAATGGTTCAAATTTCCTCATTATCACAATTATTATTGAAACTGAATGCACGATAAATACTGACCCTCAAAATACATTTCATATATTGAACAATAAGTCAATATTGTAATAATAGTGAGTAGGCTTTACATTACCATGCCCCATACATTAGTATTTGCTCTTTTTATTGCAGTTCTCTTAAATCACTCATAGCATAGTCAAATTAATATCTTGTCTTTTTTACAGAGTGCTTGTGGAAGTCAATGGAATTAACAGGCACATAAAAGTGAAGTCTGTGAGTGAAGTACATTAAGATGGATCCCTATGGCTCTGCTCTGAACCGGAGTCATTCTTTGGCCAGTGGTTTGGAGAAAACATCCCCCACATGGAACAAGCCCCCACACTCTCGAAGCAGCAGCACAGTCTCCTCCCCTCACTCCAGACTGGTCAGTGGTGCTAGACTTGTACCACTTTATTTTGACACTAACTAAGCTAACAGAGATATTTCACTTCCACTGTTGGGAGAGTTGATGGTTATTTGCCTGCTATTTGCAATTTGCCATTGTGCCCTTAGGAAAGTCACTTCACCTGTATAACCTTCCTGTTTTCACTGCATGTCTTGTGTGTAAATGTGAGAGTTCAGCGCCCCTGCATTCTGTTTCTGTGTTTTAGAACAAAATGCTGCTTTTCCACTAGTTTATGAATGCCGGGGTATGAATGTTTGTGGTTTGCAAATGTGAGACAACAGAGGTAAATTATGTTCAGATTGCGTTCAACTTCTGAAATTCTTCCAAGTTTTCTACTGAGTTTACAATGTAAATTTGGAGTAGAATAATTCATTTTACTTACTTTTCTTTTATTGAAATTAAATTATGTCTACCAGTGTTTGAAAGAACTCCACATCAGTTTAACATTATGTCCTTTTTAAACGCATACTGTGCACAGATCATCAAAGACTGGGAGATAATTGACGACCTCCATGTTGAAACAAATGCAGCAGGAGACAGTCTTCAGGACATGACTACTCCAGGCATCTGTGAGGGGTACCTGCTCAAGAGGAGGAAGTGGCCTCTGAAGGGTTGGCACAAGGTCAGGACATCGTCACGTAGACCCACCCAAATTGGAACCTCACTCAATTATTATTTTATTTCTCTTCTTACTTACTTACTCTTAATTCTTTTTTTCTGTTACTGTTACTTACCTATTCATACACATGCATGCTCACACACTTGCACTCCCATATAAGAAGAACAAAATCCATTCTTATTGTCCCTCAAATCAAAATGTCCAGTGTTTTTTATTGTTTGTATTGTCTCTATTATCACAATAAAAACAAATTAATAAAAACAAACAAACAAACAATGAAACCTACTATTTCTATTTTTCAGAGATATTTTGTCTTAGAAGCTGGGATTTTGAGATACTCCAAAAGTCAACATGATGTAAGCCTATCACATCCTATATTCAATCTTGTAACATATCAGTTTATTTTACATCTGTAAATTGTATTCAGGTGTCAAGAGGACGTGTCCAGGGGTCATTAGACATAAGCCATGCAGTCATGTCAATAAATAAAAAATCCAGTCGGATTGATTTAGATGCAGGGGATATTCTTTACCATATGAAGGTAACTCACAGTATTTGGCCATAGTTTTGTAATTTATAGAAAGGAATACAGTACTTTTTGTAACTAACATTTTTTTTAATTATTATTATTATTTCAAGGCCAAAAATCATGAACTTTTTTACATTTGGGTGACAAAGCTACAAGCCCATCGTTCGTACAAGAAAAATTCACAAGTTCACAGTGGGTTCCTCCAGTCCCTGACAAACAGCACTTCCATTATAACCAATGGAATTAGTGTAAGTATCACAAATACAAGTTTCAAATCATAAAGAGCATTGATTAAATGGCCAATATTACACAAAATTGACTCTTATGAGCTTTAAGCCATATTACAATGTTATCTCATCAAAAACAGACCCAGAGGTGTGTTTTGTTTCAATCACACATGGCAGAGGAATCCTTTATTCGTCTGTCTACATCTCCAAAACTCAAAATGCTCTGTTCCACTTTGTGATGTCATGAAGCCGTAGTTTTCAAGTTAGCAGCTATATTTTACATTTTGTTCAGTAGAGATTTGCAATTCTAGGGCTGAATTCATCCAAATGATTCTAGTGAAGGTGTATGGAGCTTAAAAACACAGTGGAACACTACCTGTAGCTGTGTTTTCTGTTTGAGAGAACCTAAATATGCATATGATTTGTGTGTGAACATGTGTGAATGAAACAAAACACAACTCCAGGTATGTTTATGATGAGGAAATAATGTTATAATATAAATAAATAATGTAATCCAGGCCCTTTAAGTGTTTTCTTCATTGTTTTGTATCACAGAGCTCCAAAAACCTGACTGTCCCAAATGCACCAAAGCCCCCCTCACCGTACACAGCGGTGAACAGCAAAGTAGCTGCCTGGCTCCAACAATCACACACCCCAGAGACTTGTGCTCAAGGTACAGATTATTTTAAAGGTTTACTGTGAGACTTTTCTAGTGGCGGGTCCACTACTTACCTGTCTCTATGGAAATGTTGCTGCTTTGTGTCTAATCTTCCACAATATAGATTAAATCTATCACAAGTGAAGCAAGCCGCTTACAGCACTATGTTACATTACAGTTCTGTGGAGAGTCACCCTATTCACAGAAGGAACTATTATGTTTTGAGCAATAGAAGCACCTGTAATGAATAAATGCTAGATGGTAATGTTTAATGTCATACCATGGGACATTCCTGGCAGCGCAATAACATCTCCATGGAGACAAGTATGGCAGCAAACCCTCCACTAGTTCTCCTTTAACTAAATAAAAAATTGTGCAAAAGTAAATGTTGTTAAATGTTTGTGCTTTTTGCTCTAGAGCTGAACAGGTGCCATTTGGACCTGTCTGAGTTAAATCGTTTAATCCAGAGGTTGCAGGCTTTGGAAACAGGCCAAATCGTTGGTAATGGAGATCTGCAGCGGATCATTAGCATTCAGGTAATACAGCAGAGTTATAAAATAAACTACTTCAATTAAACATGTCCTATCTTTTTTATTCATTGTTGTATGCACAGAATTTGTCACTTGAAAAGCCCAAAAGACCAAGGTCAGCAAAAATGTGGGGTCATTCACGCACATTGTCAAGAGTCGAAGCCCTGGGACTGGTATGCAATGTTTACAGTAAATACAGTACTGTTATTATCAAATGTAAATAAATAAATACATAAATAAATAGATTTTAAAAAGACATTTATCTAATACAATTCTACTTCTTTAAAATATGGTATTTATATGAATTACTTTTGTTGAATAACTCATAACATTCTTTCTCTTTTTCAAAGCCTGTTCGGGGGATTCCCAAATCGGTGAGTAATTGTGCGCAATGCTCCTATTGTTGATTTTTGATACTATCAACTTTGATTATTTTAATTTGTTAAAGGTGCTTGATTTTAATTGAATCCAATATGAATATACTCCTTCATTTTTGATGTAGTATCCATGTTTCTGAGAACTATCAGTGGATCTTGGGCTTCATATTACAGTTTTCCTCATGCACTCTTGATGACAATTTTACAACAGTCACATCTAATTACAAGTGTTGTCTTACAAGTGGGGGAATAGAACTTAAATTGTAGAATATTTCATTTGAACATATGTACAGGTCGTTCTACAGTAAGAAAACATTGCCCAGTCAACACATAGAAACAGTGTAGTGCCATCTAGTGTTCAGATGTGCAACAGTTTTATATCTGCACTGTAAAATGCAAGGCAGGAATCCTCAAAGTTCTCTTAAGCACACATACATAGTCTACCTGCCTATAATGTGCTCTCAGTGTATGTTGACTCTGTATTTGTTTATTTATTGTGTGTGTGTTTTGTTTTTTTTTTCTTTTTAGCTGTCTTCCAGTCAGTTGAGTAGCTCATCACAGCTCGACGCATCAGTCCCTTCTATACCGGACTATGTTTACTCACAGTTAGCTCCACCCACTGCTTTATCACCCGAGAGCAAGAAACTACAGCAGGACATCTGCACCACGTCACTGCGAGGTCAGAAATACATGGAAGTGTTTTATATCTGTCAGGTTTATGCTGTAAATATAACTATATAAGACAGCCATGTCCATTTCAAGTTATACTAGGTTCTCTCATTAATCATTGTTCTTTAAGAATGTTAAGATTGTTTTTTTCCCATCAGATAAAATACATTTGTGATAATTTGCTTTATGTGGTCATTCTTCTTAAATTTCAACAAAGTCTACATTTTATTTTATAAATTGTACATTGTAAATTATCTTCTTTTTATGTTCCCATATCAGTGCTTTCTTCCCTGAAGTCAGTTCATGAGACCCTCTCACAGGAGCGTCAAAAACTTCAAGAAGTTTGGGAAACAAACAACTTGAACCATCTCACATTACCTGTAGTAAGTCAGTTATTGTCTCTGTTCCATGGACCTCTTTACTGTTTATAGTTCACACTGTCCTCCTCCTCTCCACAGACTGAGGCTGTCAGGTCCCACGGTGCTCCATCTGTGGCAGATTCAGCGGCTGAATATTTTGACGCCAGCGATGATCTGCGGTGTGGGAGTTCATCTGAGGTCACGGACGAGTCTGGACTCAGCGACGGGAGCACCACAAACTCTGAGCCAGAGGAGGGCCATGGTGTGTGTACAATTAGGCAGAAATAATGTTAAAGTGTTTGTAATTCACTTAATCAGTGATCTGTCTAAAAGACACAAAACCATTTACCATTGCAAAAATGCAATAATTAAATGTAAATCATGTATTTTTTCTGATCATTACAGTGAATTGCTTTCTTCTCATTGCAGCATTGGCCACTCGTAAATATCGTGCCAGCATTTCCAAAGCCCCTCACAGTGTCCCCCCCAAAAGCACAGGACGAAGGACCAAATTGCCCACATACTGTCCCGACAACAGCCATGTGGGCCTAGTCGCTATCCTGTACAACAACATAGGCATGTGTCTACACCTGTAGTTTACCTGTTCAAATATGTATACCTGTTAACATGTTTTTTATATTGTTTTGGGTGATTTTTAGGCAAGGATCTGGCTCGAGTGTCGATGCCCGCTGCTCTGAATGAACCGGTGAACCTGCTGCAGAGACTGTGTGAGGAGCTGGAGTACAGTGAGCTCCTGGACACAGCAGCCAATACACCAGACCCCTACCACAGGATGGTAAACAAACATTACACGTCTAATTTAACATACTAAACACTTTATTTAGTTTATTAATTATCGCTGTATAAGTACAAAGAATCTACAAAGAAGCTGGACACAGATCATTCCAGTACAAAGCCCCTTCTGATCGAAATAGATTACCCATACTCTTGAAAGCGAATATCTTTCAATTAATTCAAATCCACTTTGTTTTCACACCTCAAAACTCCTTGTTTATACTTTTAGTTTGCCCTTTTTATTTCCATTTTGTATATCCCATTACTGTATAATGTCTAGCTTATTTGTATCTGTGTGCCTCTATTCTGTGTATTATATTGTGTGTTACTTGTTGTTATGTGTTTTGGACCCACTCAAAAACAAGATAATTCCAATAAAATAAATTCAAATAAAATTCACAGAAAGAAAAGATCAGGCACTCTTCCAGACACATATTATTTAAAACATGTATGCAACAAATGGCACTTTAAATAACTCTCATGTTCTTCTAGGTTTACATTGCTGCCTTTGCCATCTCCGGTTACTCTACGGCCACTTTCAGAAACCGTTACAAACCCGTCAACCCAGTGCTTGGAGAGACATTTGAATGTATAAGACAGGACCGCGGCTTTAGGCTCATCAGTGAACAGGTAAAGTGTGATAAAATCAACATCACTATGGTTTATAATTATGATCTACTATTTCATAGCTCCCTTTAAGGCAAGAGTAATTATGACTGTACAATTGTAGCTATAACTGCAAAGCTGAATAAGACCAAAGCTTTATTATACTATTAAATTGTATAAATCTAAGTTAAATCATTCAAAGGATGGTATTTTATCAGTTTCTTTTTTCTCCAACCACATTCAATTACTGGATATTCAAATATGGTTTAAAGGTGTACTGTGTAACTTTTCTGATATTGCTTTGCCTGAGATGTTTCAAAGTATGGCATTAAACAAATGCATCTTGTATTTATTCAATTACAGACATTTTTATTTCTCAAAACTACACAGAGATAGTTTTAAGCTACACATGGAGATAGTTAAATGAATGCCATATAGTAGGAAAAAACAATAACATCTACATGGAGTCAAGCAGATGGTGGATCATCTAGAAAAGCTACACAATGCACCTTTAATAATATTGTTTAATTTTAGTAATATTGTTTTCCAGGTTTGCCATCATCCTCCCATTTCAGCCTGTCACGCCGAATCGGACAATTTCACCTTCTGGCAAGGTGAGAGTGTCTTAGTTATTTTTTATTGTAGTTCATAAAAGATTCATAAATCATTCTAATTAGTGCCTTTCTATTTCCTTTTACCAGATCAAAGGTGGAAGAATAAATTCTGGGGGAAGTCCCTGGAAATCTTGCCAACGGGAATGGTCAACGTCACTCTTCCAAAGTAATAATTTTATTACCTATTTGAGCAATAATTAACCACAGAAATGTTATATGAAAGGCCAAGACAGATGATGTATTAAATAAGAGGGCCCATATTACAATGTTTACTGATCTAAATGATACTGTTGTTTCCTTATCACAAACAAACATGGAGTTGTGTTTTGTTTCATTCACACATGTTTAACACACAAACCCTGTAGATTTAGGCTGAGTTCTTCTCTCAAACAGAAAACACTCCACTGTGTTTTTACTCCATAAACCTTCACTAGAATCAATTGGATAGTTTCATTCCTGAATTTGCCAATCTCTGTTAAACAAAAGATAAAAAGTAGCAGTTAACTTTAAAACTGCCACTTCATGACATCACAAGGTGGAATGGAGCATTTTGAGCTTTGGAGATATAGACAGACAAATAACAAAAGATTAATCAAACACAACTGCAATTCCATATTTTTTGTGTGGAGGTAACAACATTATATCATGGCTAAAAACTTGCCGAGTCAGTTTTGTCCTTTAATGATTATGATGATTTTGCACAGATATGGAGATCACTATGAGTGGAACAAGGTGGTGACGTGCATTCATAACGTCTTCAGTCAGCAAAGATACCTGGAGCACTACGGAGAGGTCACCATTCAAAACCTCAACAACAGCACCTGCACCTGCAAGATCACGTTTGTCAAGGTGAATGAATGAATCTCACTCTCTCTGGTGAGAGAAATGTTGCAAATGTAAAAGAAGTATCTAAAAGGTCACTCAGGCAACGGTTCAATTAATATTTTTGCTTAATTGAATGTTTACATAAAAACAAAAACAAAAATCACTCACATAAATTCAGTGTAAAATAAAAGCTTTGGTTATAAAACACTGAACAGCTTTCATCCTTTATATTAGTGATAGGGTCCACAATTTTGTTTACACAAAACCAAAAATTTCAAGACATACAATATTTATATCTCAACAAAATATTACAGGCCTATGGAATGGGGTTCAAAGTGTTACAAGATAAGTGCAACTGCTAGGCTATTAACAATTCAAAACCTTTTGGATCTTTTGAATGGTCAACTCAAAATGGCTTAGAAATAAGAAGTTAAAACAAGTGACTGGGCTCAGTCAGTATACATGTATTTAGTTATTGTTCTGCTATATTTATCCAACCACCTGAAAATATTGTGTTCCAGCAATATTTCTAATGGTAAAGTACTATGTAATTTGTAATATGTTGCTTATCTGTAAATCTCTGTTTTGATTTTGTAGTCTCGCTATTGGGGTTCAGACACAAACAAAAACGAGGTGCAGGGGACGGTGCTGGACGAGAGCGGGAGTGTTATTCACAGATTTGGGGGTCTGTGGCATGAGGGCATCTTCTGTGATACTCTGCCCTCTCCCAAATGTGTCTGGAAACCAAGTGAGTGCTCCTAAATCCTAAGTATAAACAAAATTATTAAAATATACATATATATATACTTCTAGGGGAGGGTTCGCCCCCCACCTATTGAAAGAATGTACTTTCTGAGGTCATCTAGCTTCCTGTCATTGAACAAATACTAGATATACTGTATGTATTTGATTTCATACTGAAACATTATAGGCAAAGCATCTCCATGGAGGTGGTGAACAGTTGCATAGTACACCTTTATTTGCAAAATATGACCCTGAGCTTTCTGTATTATTTCAACAACCTCTGTGCTGCAATTTGGGTTACTACTCTTTAGACACTAACCACTTTATTTGTATAAGAGAATGAATTATCAACATATTGAAACACATCATAGCATCATCTTCTATGTTTAAGGGAGTGTCACTGTAAAAACAGAAAGTAGCAGCACTAAGATAGGTCTGTATAATAATTGCACTGAAGAGCTGTAACATTCATATTGCAGTCTAGAAGCAACATGATCTGCTCCCAGGGCCCAATTTCCTGCTAAACCCTTGATGACTTGACCCATTTTTCCCATAGACCCACAGCCAAAGGATCACCTCTTGTATTATGGCTTCTCTTCTTTTGCAATGGAGATGAACGAACTGCCCCCAGAGCTGGAGCCTTTCCTGCCTTTAACCGACACAAGACTGAGACCAGACCAAAGGTTAGAAGGATAGAAGGATATCTGGTTATTATTTTGTTATTATTATACAGATTGCTTGAGTGATAATAGTTGGATTTTAGAGAGACAGAATACTGGTATACAGAGTTGGAAAATAAAGTCGGATTTTGTCTGAGTGATATTTCGCACAATTATTCATGACCCAAATTCATCATCTAGTTTGCATACTTTGTTACCTTGTTGTTTTTTTGTTTGTTTTGGTTGAATCTCTGAGGTTCACGTTGCGAATTGTTGACAACTTTGCAGAGTTTTAGATGCCTAAATATGGTTTGACATCACCTAGATGAAATGATAAAAGTACTAAAATTACAGCTTTTTTCATAGTACTTGTTAAACACTCCTACAGACAGTAATTTATGGTTGGCATTTAAATGTGTAACCTTTCTAATTGTCTGAATCTGGAACTGGCACAAGTTGGTTTTGACATCTTGTGGCTGCTGTTGAATATTTCATTTTTTAAAAGTTTGAAACATGTTTTTACCATGAGACCTACACACTATTACATATTGCAGTGAGCCTAGAACCCAAGAGGTAAAAAGTTACTAGAAAGTGTATGTACTTTGAGTTGATTTGGTCCTTTTTTAAACAGAATGTTGGAAGAGGGCCTGGTGGACGAAGCAGACAGAAAAAAAGATGAGATCGAGGAACTTCAGAGGCTGCGAAGGAAGGAGCTTGCCAAAAAGGGGGAAGAGCATGTACCTAGATTCTTCAAGTAAGTTCACTTTATCAAACAAACCTATGCTACACAATCACATTCAACTTCTGCAATACTTCCTATGCTATTTTTGTTTTCTACGATGCTAGAATTGACATTTTGACTTATTCTTTTTCAGGCAAACCAAGGACCAGTGTGGGCGGGATGTGTGGGTGACCAATGGGACTTACTGGGATCTCAGAGAGGACCCAGGTTTTGCAAGTTTAGACTGTCTAAAACTTTGGTGACTTTGCTATCTATCTGCATATTTAAAGGTCCTATATTACGCAAACCTGACTCTTGTGAGCTTTAAGGTGTGTTAGAATGTATCTGCCTCCTCAAAAACATACCTGGAGTTGTGTTTTATTTCATTCATCCTTTATTATTAGTCTGTCTACATCTCCAAACCTCAAAATGTTCTGTAAGTTAACAGCTACATTTTACCTTTAATTCAGGAGAGATTGTCATTTCCAGGTCTGAAATCATCCAGATGACACTAGTTAAGATGTAAAAACACAATGACACATTTATTGTATTACCACATGACATCACAAGGTGGAACAGAGCCTAAATATGCAGTTTATGTTTGTGTGTTAAACATGTGAATAAAACAAAACACAACTCCAGCTAGTTTGTGATGAGAAAACAACAATATATATAACTCAGAACATAGTGTAATATGGGCCCTTTAAACAAATCTTATATGTTGAAATACAGAAAGCATTCATGATCCAGTGAAGGGGGGATATGCTCATGTGTTTTTAGACTATTCTTATAACATAAAAACCATGACAGGTTCATGGGAAGTGTCTGCTAGTCAGATCAAAGTCATTTCAACTTACCGTATATTGTAATTTTAAATGTTAAATTAAAAAAAAAAAAGGTTCTTAACAAAATGATTCTGTGTTTTTCTTAGTTTCAAGAAATCCACTTAACCACAGCTCTGGTATTCTAAATTCATTTTATTAATAAAAAGAACAATACAATATACAGTTGCCACTTTAAATAAATTACAATTTCACTTCAAAAATTGCATTGTAATAAGCAAATTAAATTAAAATATTTGTGTGATACCAACAATTCCCCTTCACATAACCGCACATTTGAGTATATGTACAGCACTCTTCATTAATGGTGAATGAGAATATAATTGGCAGTTTTTCCTGGACATAAACAGTGCACATCGATCACTCACAAAAAATAACATGCGTCACACTTGACTTTACCCTGTTCTGTATTTACTAATTTACAGTTTAATTCCCTGATATTAAAGCCTGTATGTGACCTCTTTTTTAAACTGAGTTAACAAAGGGGTAAAAAACAAACAAAAGACGTGGAAAGATTGGATTTTCAACACATTATATTAAAAGTATTGAATAAACTGCTGTAATACTAGAGTCTACCAGCAGGGATCACTCATTTATCATTTCAGCGTTGATCCACAACACCCTGCACCTCTCCATCACCAGTGCGTATGTTCAGTGCATATTTAAATAACTCTTAGAACCAATTTGTTAATTGCACTTTACATGTTCTTCAGATTTCTTAAATATATCATAAAATAGATAATGCACAACTTACATGTGTCTAATCACACCACACCATTCTCAGCATTTAGTTGTCACACAATATTCAATTGCTTTTTGAAATAGGGTATCCATGTAAATATAAAAATGGACATTATAGAAAAAAATAAATATTTTTTTCATATCACTTCATAACTACACCTTATTTAGCCTTCAAGTATGAAGAAAAACATGCTTACTTACTTTTTAATGAACATATAGTTAATTATGATTGATACAAGCTAAGCAACCAGTTAATCTAAGGGGTTAGGATATTAATTAAGCAGTTACTAAGAATGAATCATTCTTAAAAAACTATATGTTCATTATTAATTAAGTCTTTGTTTATGCTTCATTAAAGTTAATTAAAATGTAGTTGTTTTAAAGTGTTACCACATTTTACAGTGCATACTCAAAGTTGATTGTCCACACAATTCAAATTTAAGTTTATGGCACGTTTTGAACACCCATGATGATTTGTCTGTCCTTTGCATTTTGTGTGTGACCACTCATACACTACAAAGATCTATTTTATCTTTTCTGCTCTAGAAGGTAGTTATTTGCCCCCAGTGATGTCGGGGGCAGTTAGCGTACCTGCAGCGTGTGAGGGGCAGTTCTCTGATCAGGACCGACTTGTGTCACGTCATGGTGGAGTCTATGGAGGGAGACGCCTGGTCAGTCTGAGCTTCCTATTCCTCTGCTGAGAAGGTGGCACTGTCCTCTTTATTTACCTACAAATGCAGCCTCTTTCAGTGACCCACATTTATCACTTGCTATTAGCACATGTGCTTTATACAGGAAGGGTCAAATGCAGAGGTTTTCTTAGACGTACACCCAATCAAAACTGATTATTTTAACTTAATGTAAGGACTAAAGCAAAGGACTATTTTGTATTTTACAATCAGCATAGTGTGATTTTCAAAACTGAAAACGGGGCTACGTATAACATTGTCATAGTCAGAATGACTTGTGTTAGTGCATTTTTTTATTTATTTTTTTGCTTTATGATAATTTTCAAGCATGGTGTTCTGTATTTTAGCTAAACAAATGAAATCTATTCCCCTCTTTACTGTTTGTGTGTAGCAGATCGGTCAAAAATAAGGTCTCCTGGGACATTTCTTGTTTAAAACTTCATCAATCAATACTTTTGGATAAATCAGTGACAAATAAAACTTAAATAATATGTACAAGTAATTTGTAACATATTGTACATGGTTAGGTACTTGGACCATAAAGAGTTTTAAAAAGCACAAATTGACAATGCATATAGAGCAATCAAATATGTGTTTCTGTGTTCTAAGTGAACAATATTACTCACCTGTAATCTTAATGGGGGCTATTTTAATGTTGCTAATATAATTAGTCTTGAAACTGACCACCATCCAGTTCAGAATTCCTGTATTAACCTTACGTCTGCGCTTTGAACTTCAAGTGCCTTTACCTCGCCACTAGTGGGCGCCAGCATGCTTAGTATTTAGTACAGCGTTGAGGAGTAGTTATATGAAATGTCTCACTATTGCCGCAAAATCATGAGGGGGAAAATGGGGAAATGCACGTCTGCGTATTGTGGTTGTCATCGCTGAAAAACTAAGTGTGAGTGGTTTGGGGTAAAATGACAAGAGACAGATGAAACTACAGATGAAACTACACAGACACAAATTTTGATGCATGAGGAAGAGACAGTTTCCTCAGGGCTGCTGTCAGGCTCAGAGATACAAATATAATGTTTTTAAATTTACATGTTTGGAAAGTCACAGGTGAGGTGTTTATGTGCCTCTAGGACAATGGGGCAGGACCAGGCGCTTCTTCAGTTCTGTTTCAGTAAACTAACTCTGACATAAATCTTGAAAACTTGTTATCTTTTGACACTTTGACAAAGAGTTTGATGGTAAAATCAGGAGCTGCATTTATTAGCCTGGCCAGTCAGTCCCAGAAATAATTTTAATAATTTTACATGCAAAACTATTGAAGAGCAACAAAATATAGCCTAACACAACACAAGTGAATGAGTGAATAATATTAGTATTTTAGTATAAAATTTTAAAGTTTAAAAATTAATATAAAATAACAATAACTATTAAATAACTATTTTGTGACCTGTATTCATAGGTTGCAGATCTGCAACTATTTGATTACCTTTTTACAATCACACAGATATATATATATTTAAAATTGTTAATCACTGTGGCAACTGTTCAACTTTTTCATCATTCCGAAACCCATGGATAGGGCTTTAGTTTGAAAGGATTACAGATCTACTTCACTTGTTAATAAAAGTGAATGAGTCAAACTGGCCAGGCTAACTCTGCAAAACATAGCACTTGCAGTCACATTTGAGTTTGTGTATATAGGACAAGGGTAGACACCAAAACACACTTAGTTTCATGTCCTCAGTGCGTGTAGTAACCGTAATAGTCTGCATCACTGTTGTTCTCATCACCCGCACGTGAAGGAGGGGAGTTCTCAGTACTGGACGCGTACGGAGATACCCTTCTTTTCTTATTGTCCGAGACCCCACTTTCAAACAAACCTGAGTCCACAGAGTCTGCGGATTTGACTGAAACTGGATCTAACCACGTCTCCCCTCTCACACCGCCACCTTTGGACTTATCCTGTTGCAAAGGTGGAGGGTGTGGCTCCAGCAGAGAAGAAGACGCATGGAGTCTTGGGTTCCCAGGTGATATTGAGGAAGACGAAGATGAAGAAGAGGATGATATTGGTCTGAACCAGCCTAAGCTTGGTGGAGGTTTACTAGAATGGCTTAGGAACTGGGGAGAAGGTCGATTTGCACCCCAGCCTGGTGTAGGAGTGCCTGACACTGAAACACTCCCTGGCCCAAATGTGTGATCAGGATAGTAGCTGAGTGGGTGATGTGCCGATGTTTGTAAAGGGAAAGGCTTGTAAAAACCATTTGGAAACTCCCCTTCGTATGAGGACGTGAAGTCAAGGCGGTTTGGGGGTTGGTACCAGCGGCTATGAGGTCCCGGGCTAGAAGAAGAGGAGGGGTCTTTAGACTGTTGACTCATACCAGTCAACGCGTCCCGACTGAAGAAGCGGCTTTGAGGCAGAGGGCTCATATACTGATCCGTGAGATGGTAGCCCTGAGGGGGGTAGCAGGTGCCCGCCAACAGCTGCTGGTTTTCAGAGGGAGAAGGGGTAAGGCGGTCCGAGTCGGGAGGGGCGTATAACCTGTGAGGGAGGAGGTGGAGAGAAGAAGGGGGGAGGAAAAGAAGTGTTATTTCCTGCGCAAAAAGCTGTCTATCAGTCATCTTGTACTCATCATACCTCGCTACCAACACTTGTCATGTCTAAAGTAGTAATTACACCAGAGATAATACTTAAACTAGAAACACAGTACAGTGACAGTGACAAAGATGTGCTATTACTAATCAGTAAGAATTAATAAAATGTAATTAATCTTTCATCCTCTCTATTTCTAAACAGACTGACTCTATTTTAAAAGTGCACCATGTCCCTTTTATCATGGAGGGTTTCCCGTATTAGAGGTTTTATTGAGATGTTATTGCTTAGCCTACAATCTTCCAAAATATGGCATTAAATTTCTATCTGTCACCATTAAGCAAATGACACCACCAGGCCAAGTTACAGATCAGATCTCTTATCTTTATTAATATTCTGTCTACAGGGTGTCCCCAGGTTTGTCTACCCCAAATTTAAGATGATTTAAAGACCTTTTTAAGACCATTTAAATGAAAATTAAGACCAACATCGCACCCATTATGTAGGTGAAAAACACCAGATCCAAATCTAGTAATGACCAACCAACTACTATATCTAGAATCTAAGAGCCAATGTGGATTAAACCTACACTTTCCCATGATCCATCCAACATCTTCCTCCACTGTACTGATTGTTTACTCATTGCTGCTGGCACCAGAAACCAAAGTATTGTTTGCGCAAACTCCAAATTAGACGTTCATTCACATTACATGATTTCACTTTGTTGTTTTGAGTATATAAAAAAATCGCACAATGAAATTTAAGACCTTTGTGAAAAAATAAGACTTGGACAACATAATTTAACACTTTTTAAGGCCTTAATTTAGAAACCTGAAATTTAAGACCTTTTTAAGACTTTTAAGACCCAGCGGCTACCCTAGTCTACATTTTCAAAGCTCAAAATGCTCTAATCCAACTAGCGATGTCACAAAGTGGTAGTTTTCGAGTTGACAGTTACCTTCTACCTTTTGTTCAGTAATGATCAGCAATTCCAGGGCTGAAATTATCCAAATAATTCTAATGGTGTGTAGAGTAAAAACACAGTGGGGCATTGCCTGTATTACCATGTGACATCACAAGGTGGAACAGTGTGTTTTCTGTTTGAGAGAAGAACTCAGCCTAATGATGCAGGATTTGTGTGTTCAACATGTGTGAATGAAACAAAACACAACTCCAGGTATGTTTGTGATGAGGAAACAATTACACCATTACAACATAGATAAAAAATATTGTAACATGGGCCCTTTAACATTATTATTGCCATGGCATGTACTGTTATTTGGCTAATAAAAATATGTCTATGTGAATGTCAGAGCATGAAACAAGAGCATACCATGAAACAACAAAAACTATGACACTTATTAATGACTTGACTTTACTTACGTGTCGTAATTGTCTCGGAAACCTTTAGCGAAGGGGTTATGGTCTATTTCAGCTGAGTGATCTGTGTAGTAGGAACAGGAGGAGGGTAATGACAGACACAGACACAGAGGAGGCATAGGAAAAAGACAGAAACAAGAGAGGTCACCAAGCAATAATTAATCATCATACTGTGCTATTTTTAGTACTTACATACATATATATTAAAGCATATCTGAAACTAGAGTCTAGGTTTAAATATTTATTTGTGATTTATGAGGGGTACAAGGTTTCATCATCACTATCTATAAGTCTATAAGTAAACAGCAGAGGTCATTCAGGGTGAGATGACACTTAAATGAACTTGGAGCATGAACTTGGAGCCGTGTGGACTGAGAGATGTGGAAATTTAAATTAGTTTTTATGCATTATTGACAGTAGCATGCATTAACCGCAGTCTCTATGTTAACACAGCAAAGGCATTAATCATTGAACTATAGCCTTATCAAGATATAAGCCTTAAGTAGATTTGAAATATTACATAAACATTCTATGGCGATTTGATGCTTGTATAAAACTGTAAAAGAACAAGCATTTTAATGAATAAACAATAACATGACTGTGAGTAAGGGTATGTGTTTGATGCTACTAAATAAAACTGATATTAAATTTTTGTTGTAATGTGATTCTGTGCCTTTAATGCAAATGTAATGACGAATATTTAAAGACACTCTGCCTACTTCCCCACCCACTCCTCCTATTAGTCAGCTCCAGCTCTGAATGATTGACAGGCGGGTGTAGCCAATGATAGTGAAGTGTGAACTCTCAGAAGAAGAAGGTTTGATTATCTTAAAGTAGCGCTGTCACAATATAAAATTATAAACTCGATTTCAGTACTAAGGAAATGGCTCCATACTAGTTCAGATAACACAATGATAATTAAAAACACAATTCTTTAGACAAAAAAATTTAATTTTCAAAACCAAATAGTAGTACTTCCTATATGATCCTATCCTATATGATATTATAAAGTGGTTTAAAGTAGCTCATCAGTGACAGCTTGCTCAGGTTCTGGAAGTAAATCTTCCATACATTTTTCCCACAGACTTCTCTAAAAAATCAACTACTAAAGAGTTCAGTCACAAAGGATAATCAGCTACGTATATTCATAATGCTGTTGTTTTAAAATTATAGGTCTTGTGGTCATTAGTTAACACATAGATTAGCTGATTGTACCCGAGTAAGCTTTCGAACTGGAACTTTTTTTTTTTTTTTTTTTTTGGAAAGTCAATGAGAAAATGAATGGGAAATTTTGTTTCCGAAACGGTGGTCACTGATGAACTTCTAAATCTATTGAGGAAAGTCCCAGTTGACATATTTATATGATTTTTTTGTTATCATTACAAATACTAATTCAAAGTTTTGCTACAAATTTTAGTATCAGTTAGTATTTGAAATAGATTTTTGACAGCCCAAATTTCAAGGCCACATAACTGTTTAAATTGTAACAAAAAGGTTAATTTCAAATGACTAATTAGATTGCTGATTATTGGTAAAATGTGCATTAAGTTGTGTTGTTACTTGCAGTGACTTACATCTGCGTTTTGATAAGCGGTGACGGCGATGAACTGTGTCTCAGGAAACACAAAGGTCTGGGCCTTGGACGAGAGGAATGGATCCTCAGATCCATCCTCCTTCACTTCCACGATGTGAAGGCGAGGCTGGTACTTGTGGAGCGACTGCAGCACCACCATCTGTATGACAATGAGTAAATAATGTAAAAACATATTAAAAAAATCACTGGTGCAAGTTTATTTGCAAGGAACGTAAAGCTGCACTATGTAACTTTTCCGGTGTGTGGTCTGTTTACATAGAATTTATTCAATTTAAATAATTTTTTTGATCAGGGACAATGCTCAGAAACATTAACCTCATAAAATTGTCTATAATATATTATTATATTATAGAAGGTATACTGTTTAAGCCTCTTATGGAGATATTATTGCTTTGCCTTCAATGTTCCACAGTATGGCATTAAAACTGTCTTGCATTTATTCAGTTAAAGGTGGTTTCATTGCTAAAAGAACATGCCTTATTACTGTGAGCAGAGTTACCTCTCCACAGAACTAACTGATAACTCAACCTGGTTGTGTTTCCTGCTTGTTTCTATGAGTTTAAAGCTATACTATGGAACATTCAAGAATTATAATTTACAATATAATGCCAATCAAGATAATCAAAACACTTTACACTATCCATTCACACATCTACACAGCAGTGGTGGTAAACAGTCATGTTTCTTTTTTTTTGATAGAAAGGAGGTTGCCAATCTGTGTCACTCAAACCACCCACCCACTCACTAACACACATACACATAAGGAAGGTGAAAGGTTTTGCTCAAGAACACAACATAAGTGTACATTAGTTTGACAGAGGAAACATCAGCCTTTCTGTTTTTGGGCGCACATCCAATAACTATTCTCATATTCAATCCAGTCCAATCCAATACTTTATTTACATAGCACATTTGATAAACATGACAGTAAATTCACTTTAGAAAATACTTTGTTGACATATTTCGACTGCCAATAAGGTGAATACATCTCCTACTGTATCGTCTTTAAAAAGAACCCAAGAAGTTAATGTACAAAGAAAAGAAAATGAAAGTTTTTGGATCAGTGTCCAAAGTGCTGCTCTGATAAATTAAGACAATAAAAGAGAGTAAAAATAAATAAAAACTATAAATGAAAAGTGTTAAAATGCATAAAGCTGAAATATTGTAACTGCCTGGTTTAGAGATTGAACGTGTGCCTAGACTTGCAAAAGTCATCTCTAGGTAAGTTAAAATGGCTTAAATTAAGAACATTTTACTTAATTTGAGTTCAACTTGATCTACAAATGGAATAAGTACAACATTCGATTTTCATTTTAAGTGCAAAAAGTTGTTGTTTAGTATAGTATAAGTAAAAAACGTCTTGTTCCATTGGTATTTTACATGTGAAGTGAAATTTACTCAAGCCATGATAAAACCTTCTTAATTCAAGTAATCTTAACTTAATTTTAGTTTTTGCAATGTTTATGCAGTATATGTATATCTAGTTTAAAGATTGAACGTCTGCCTATATATAGTATATGTATCACCTGAGCCACATTATTGGTGCTGCCCTTGTTGTTGGTGAGCTTGAGTTTGCTGAAGGACACTTCCTGTCTCATCCAGTGAGCTCCAGTGTTGGGCGAGTCTGGGTGCATGTACATCCGGTTTCCTGTAAGAACAATTATACAGGCAGAATATACGCATTAAACAACAGTAACATTTCAAATACTTTTTAACGTCAATAAAAGTAATAGGCATATTCTGATGTATTATTATTATTGTTCCCTTTTTAACTTGGTATGTTAAACACACAGTATTACATGAAATTGACTCTTGTGAGCTTTTACTCATGTTGTAATGTTGTTATCTCAGCACAAACATACCTCGAGTTGTGTTTTGTTTCCTTCACACATATTTGAGTAATTCTGTTTTATATAGTAAGTCTGAAGTGGTAGTTTTCAAGTTAACAGCTACATTTTGGCTTTAGTTCAGAAGAGATTGACAATTATAGGGCTGAAATCATCCAAATGATTCTAGTGAAGGTATGTGGAGTTAAAACACATTGGAGAGCTTCCCATATTACAACATAACATCACATTTGAGAGAAGAACTCAGCCCAAATATGCAGGGTTTGTATGTTAAACATGTGTGACTGGCACAAAACACAACTCCAGGTCTGTTTGTGATGAGGAAACAACATTATATAGATTAAAAAAATAGTATAATCTGGGCTCTTTAAAGTAAGGCTCTTCTTGCATGTACACATTACAACACTTACATCATTATTATCTAAACTGAGCAGGCTAAAATAAAATGATCGCTGCATGTAATTCCAAAATGAAACTAAATATTTAGTTACGCTTTTTTTTAAAGTTTACATTTCTATATGCCACATCACTATCACCACAATGACCTAGTAACCTCAACCCCATTTAAATCTCTACTGAACATTACAGTACTATTAGGTGTAATTGTGAAGTTGCCTCACCACAGTTTCCACAAACGCCTGAAACGTGTGATAACACCTTTCTCTTTTAATTTCATTTGCAGATGATGATCAAAAAAATCTGAGGCAAATTTGTCAATGTCGGTTAACCTGCTTAGAGTGAATGTGTGAAAAAATACTTAGAGAGAAAAAAAAACAAAAAACAAAAACTTGACAGATGCAGTATATAATAATGGATTTTCTGTTTTGAACTTACAAAAGAGATATCTGTGGTTACAGTGACATAAGTTAAAGGCAAAAAGAGGACACTCAAGTGAAATGCATTTGTTGTACTGGAGAAATATTTGTAAGTAGAATTGGTTGGTGTTGATAATGTTCAAAAGTACTTTTACCTGATAGCAATGTACAGCAATGACATTAATCATGACAATTCAGGTCTCAGTATAAAAGTCAGAACTAAAAACTAATACACATGAACATTTTAGTAGTTAAATCTCAAATCATAACTCAAATATTACTCTATTTTTTAAACTCTGGGCACTTTTCTTTTTTTTACTTGTTTATTGTTTCCTTACACTCATTTATTTGTTTTTGGTGACCTCTGCTTTTCTCATATTTTTCACAGAGGCATTTAAGTTGATTTTAGACTATACTAAAGAATGCCAAAAGGACAGTTTTATACAATCTCTACACATCCAAGAAGTACTCACACCCCCTAAAGTTTTGCAGGCATAATTCTAACTTTATCTGCCATGTGGTAAGAAAGGCTTTTCATTTTTTAAATATTTTTTGAGTGCTTCATTTTTTCTTTTTTTTTTTCTTTTTTGGATTTGAGACTAGTCCCTACACTGACGAGCATCAAAAAGACACATCTCTACACATCCATCTTAGACTTGTTTGCACGATTCCACATTGGATGCACTAGCGCCACTGACCCATGTATGTATATTCTTATAAATACTTTGTTCTTGGTGTGTGTACCTGGCATGTTTCCTTCTGCCTTTCCACACTGGACCCACTTGCCTCCCTGGTACCTCCAGTGGTGCTGATCAGCCAAAACTACATCCACATAGACGTTATAATGAGCAGAAGGATCCAGAGCGCTGATGTTAAAGCTCAAGAATGGAAACATCCTCCTGCAAGAAACAAGCACTCAAGTCAGTACATACTCAATGCTTAATTCATGTGACATTTACATATTAAAGGAATTGTATTACACTCTTTTCAGATCTATGTTATAATGCTCACAAAAGTCAAGTTTGTTGTAATATATGACCTTTAAACTTAGCGCATAGCTTATTAATGAGGAAATTGGGTTACCGACTTTCAAAATATCACATAATAGTATTTTTCCTTAAAGCTAATATTTAAATTAACCATATAGGTTCACCTTTCAAATCTCATTGCTTATAACATGTACAGGCCAGAGATTATCTGGGAGCTAACTTAAAGATGCACTATGTAACTTTTCCAGTTGGGGTCCTGGAAAGTTAACACAGTATTCAACTTTTTGCATTTAAAGGTGGTTTTATTGCTTAAACACCCTGAAAAACACACAATCCTACTGGAAAGTGAGCTTGCCGCTCCACAGATAAGACCTGTAACTCAACCTGATGGCATTTCCTGGTTGTTTCCATGGAGATTTAAATTAATTCTGTAGGACATTCAAAGTAGTAAAATCTCCAAGGAGACAAGTAGGTGGTGGACCTTTTGATAAAAAAAGTTACATAGTGAACTTTACATACAATGTGAGTAGAAAAGAAAAAGAAAATAGACACTCAAAATGTAAACTGTTCAATAAATTCAAACAATACACAGGTTTCATATTTTACAGAAATCTTACAGAATATTTTAACCTATATTTGTTATTATATATATTGTGATGTGTGAGCTACTGTGTCCGGATCATTCCCTTGTGAATCAATAAAGTTTGTCTAAGTCTAAATCTAAGTCAAAACTATTTAAGGATTTTTATCCTTTATCTGACATTATAACATAACAAGGAAAATTATAATTCATGTATTATTATTTTTTAGTTTTGTATGTTATGTTTACTATATTTGGGCACTGACAGTGTAGTAGGCCACACAGATATTATTGATTTGCAGACACTTCCTTTCTGCACACACTGGAGCAGCAGAGTTAAAGCAGTGATGTTGGGGGCAGGGTGACAGGGCGCGAGAGCAGGTGAATATTTAATACAGCTCTTAATAAAAGATGCCCGGCCGTGTGCGCTGATTGGGGCTTTACATGTTGGACTTATTTTGATCCCAGACTCCTTCAGTGAGAGCGGGTAACAGGGAGGTCATGAAGTCCCGTGGGTGCGCAGCTGGGTGGCTCAGAGTTCAGAGACATAGATACCTACTCTGTACTACCAGGAAACAAACGCTGGATAAAATTTTATGCATTTTACCATTGCTAATACGACATAAATTGCTTTTGTTTTGTGTCCTGATTTAGAGGTGCACTGTGTAACATTTCTAGTGGAGGGTCCGCCACCTGATGTCTAAATGGAGATGTTATTACTTTGTCTAAAATGTTCCACAGTATAGATTTAACCGATCGATCACAAGGGAGAGAAGCAGGTTACAGCATGCCACATTACCAAGTCATATATTTTAACACCAGTAATGAAAAAACACTAAATGGAAATGTTTAAAGTCATACTATGCAACATTCCAGGCAAAGCGATAACATCTCAATGAAGACAGATGCTCGACCAGAAAACCAACCAGAAAAGTTGCACAGAGCATGTTTAAGTTGATGGCACATTCAAATAAGTTGTCTAAATTGTTCCTTTTTTCTTGATATATTCTTAAATATGATTAATTAAATACGGTTATAAGTCCTCATCCTCAGTATGGATTTCTTTTAGTGTAATAGCCTTTTTGTTTGGATTATACCAGGGCTGTCCACATTTTTTTCACTGAGGTCCACATACAGTATATTAACAAAACAGACTAATGGTCAATACAGTCATTCAGAGCTTTAACAGAGCCACTGTACTTTTAAAAAATACTTGGAACTTTTAGTTTAGGTCTGAGAATGAGCAGAATTACTTACGTCTACATAAATTTGCTGTTTGGACACTCCTGGATTATACATACAATATTAAAAGGCCTGTATTACATTATTTGAAACTTGAAACCTACCGCTTCATATCATCACAAGTTGGAACAGAGTTTTGTGAGTATATGCAACAGTATTTTAAAAAGAGAGTCAGATTTGTGTAATATGGGACCATTAAACAGATTGTGCTAAACTGTGATCTAAACTACAGATAATATATAGTATTTGTATTAGGGATGGGCATGATTAATCGATTAATCGATAATTGATCATTAAGAATTTCATCGATTACGTAAATTTTAATCGACAAACCGAATGCAGGTTGCTGTGCGTAGCGTGACCAAACAGGGGTCCGTACATGTGTCTCTCTGCACTCAGAAGGTGCGAGCAAACACAAACATTCGGTCAGCCTGCAATGTACCGAAGCACAAATGTGTATTTAACGTTGACTTATACAAGAAAATCCACGCTTTCCGTTGCGTTCGGGACAAGTGGGAGGCCATGTGCACAGTGTACAAAGCAGCACATATGTCTCGGTGTCCAGTGGGAAAAAGCTTTACCAGGCGAGAGTCGTGCAATGTTGATGACGAGTCCCCACCTCCGTACTGTGTTCTGGTTTTGACAAACGCAAATCTGGTCACACTAACCTGTATTCCACTGAATCATGTCTTTTAATCCGACAGAAATTGACTGCATCAGCGACAAATTAGCGATGCGGTTTTAAGTTTCGTTTCTGAAAACTGAATTAAACACATTATAATGTCAAACGGATTGATGTGGCTCTAGAGTCGTTACGGTTTATATGTCGTAAATGTATGTTGAATTTATTTATGCAGATTAGTAGTGCAGATAGTAATAATAATGATGATCATTTTAATATAAAAACGTTAATGATTAATCGATAATCGATCGTTAATTATTCCGACGATCGATTAAGAAAATTTCATCGAATGCCCATCCCTAATTTGTATGGTTATGTGTGTGTAGTATTGTTAATTAAGTGACAATAGGCATTTATGGCATGCCCCAAAAACTTGAATTTCCCTCAGGATCAATAAAGTATCTCTCTCTCTGTGTGTCTATAGCAATAACATTAAACCTACAGTAGAGCATACACATACATACAGTAACATGAACTTGTGGTGCACTCTGGATCTATACGAGCTTTAATGAACCAGGGCAACAAATTTAGCTTCTGACCTGTCAGTTTTACCCCAACAGCTCCTGAGGCTATGAGGCATTGGACTGGAAACTTTAGTCATGTGGCCAAACCAATACCCATTCAAGTGTTAGTTACATCACAACATCAGCAACAGAGAAAACCATGGCAGTGACATAATGATATCAGGTTTACCACACAACTCTAAACAATGTCATACAGCAATAAATATCTACCGCCCACAACAAAATATGTACATTCAAAATGCCAAGATGATTCATTTAGATTATTTTAAAAACTGAACAAGATACAAAAAACAATTGTAACTAACTCAATCTCTCTGAATCCTCCAGTATCAGCAAAAAGTTGAGCTGGTTTCTTCTTATGATTTAGCAGAAAAATATGATAAATTTCAATATATATTTATTACAAAGGCTGGTTAATAAACTACTTTTAGCATTAAATGTATAATGCTTCCGGACAAACTAGGGTTAAATAAATGTTTAGCAATGTGCCTAAAGCTCACATTTGTGTCCACCAAAATGAATCTAATTTATATTCAGTGGTTCTCCCTGAAGCTTGTTGGTCATTTAGTGGTGCAAAGCTACTGAGGTGTGTAAATACTGGACTTGGAGGCTACTGCTAACAGGCTAATGCACTAACTCCTACAGGGAAAGTCCTTTTAGGTTCTGACAGAAACAAATACTTTGGAAAGAGATTTTATGTAACAGATACTGAACGATGTCTCTGTTATAAAGGAATGACCAATCTGTTTTCTTACTTTTAGAACTGGCAGAAGTCAAACCTGAAGATTACTAAGGGGGGCCTGTGTGAGAATTTTTTTTTTAAATCAGTAAAGTAGAAAATGATTTTTGTGGTCACGAGCCTATATAGACAGACATTTGGTAACTATGCACAATCAAACTGAGAATCTCTACAGACTTTGAAGCAGAGCGTGGCCCCATTCGACAAGACAACTGAAAACTGAACACGGTCCTGGATACAAATACTACATTATGGCCACTCATATAAGTTTATGAGTAACAAATGTGTAACTGTTGGCATCGTATGTTTGAATCTAGCTTTATATTGAGTTTCTACATCTCTATCTCCACAGTAAAACAAACCGTGCTCACAGTGTTCCCAGTTGGGTCTTTTGGCTACACGGCGAGTCCTGTTTTACAATCAATCATAGTTCTCATAGTGAAACACAAGCACGACTGCAGATCTTTAGTGCCTCGAAAAGAACAGGTGAAAAGGCTCTTCTTCCAGCGCTAATACAAGTGAAAGCAGAAACTAGGCCCAGGCAAAGGCAGACGGCTACACCTACACTTATGGAAACGGTGAATAAATGAACATTTACCAAAAGGCTTGTTACTATATTTATTATACCTTATGCTAGAATATATTACAGAGGATGGGGGTTGGATTAAATAAATTCTTCTTCCCACTCCTTTTTGGGCAATTTTTTGGCTGTTGTTCTTGTTTCTGTGGGTACTAATGTCAATATGGATGATACTGTGTTCCATTGTGAAAGAATGTTAAATGTTTACTTGCCCAAAATACATACATGAATCAAAAAAATATAATAAATAACACAATAAAATCTTGGTCCATATTTACTGTAGCAATGTTTTGCCTTAATTGACACCAGTCTCATTCTATTTTTGCCACTTATTTAGAATTTATTATTACTATGTATATTTTTTGCTCTTTATTATTATATTATTATTGTGATTTGTGACCTAATGTGTCCAGATAATTTCCCTCGTGGATCAATAAAGTTGCAGATCAATAAATTTTTCAGTTTTCTTTAGTTGAATAAATGTCTTTTAAGACTCATTACAGAGACAAACTAACTATTGGTGTGTTTAATTTTTCTATGTTTAAATGTTTAAACTGTTGTACATTTGGCATTATTCTGCTTTATGGTTATTTTATCATTGGCATAAATTTGTTTCAATATTCATTTATCGTTTACACTTTCTTCAGTCTCTAGTCTGGTAATTACCAATACTAGTTTCTACAGATTGAATACAGTATGAGTTTTTAGGAGAAATCATAACTTATATATATGAGGGGAAATCAAACAAAACACAATAAGGGAGGGATTTACATGTGTGGGTGGCTCAGAGACAACACACAGATAGCCTAGCGTGCAGATACAGGCAGATCCGTGGTTAAAGTGGTAGAGCGATGCAGAACTACAGTAGCGCTAAAAACTGTTTGACACTTTACTAAATGTGAGAAATGTAGCCACAAAAGTACTCTAAGCTGATATGAAGATATCATAAATACTTATATGCTATTCTGTTTAAGGTTGGCTGCCAGGGTACACAGACAGTTCTCCAGTCACTGTAAACGCTGACCACATATTGTGAGTAATGTAATTAAAAAACTAAATTTAATGATGCAACTTTTCTGATGGAGGGCCCACTACTCGTCTCAATGGCGATGTTATTTCTTTTCCTGGAATGTTCCATAGCATGACTTCAAACATTTCTATCTAGTATTTATTCATTACGGGTGTTTCTATTGCTTAAAATTATCATAATTCCGAGGGGCGACTCTCCACAGATCTGAACAGTAATGCAGTGTAGTGCTGTAACCTGCTTTGTCTCCCTCGTGATAGACAAGTTTAATCTATACTGTGGAACATTCTAGACAAAGCAACAACATTTTTGTGGAAGCATCAGGTGGCCGACCCTCCACTAGAAATGTTACACAGTGCACCTTTAAAGACTGAAAGCAACATATTTAATAAAAATAAAATGTTACAATGTTACAAAATTTATATATGCTTTAGACTGTAACAGGGATCTTCTTTACTTGAAAATGGGGTAATAATGCATCATTTGTGGATATGGTGAGTCAATATTGTGCCTTTTCAAACTAAATACTGTTGAAATATGCTTGAATGATGTGGGTGTTTAGTCATTCTGGGGGAGACACTGAGGTGGTGACATTTAAAATATCAAAATCAGGTGTTTGGCGAGGGGGAAGAGAACAGATTACAGCCCCGGTGGAGAGATGGAGAGGTGGGAGGCGTCTCTTCTACATGAGCGACCAGTGATTGGGACAGACAGGAGGTTTTTCCCCAAGAACAAGAAGAGCTCCTCTGGTACATTTGAGCAATTTTAATGTCATTTCATATATGATCCTAGATTTAGGTTTTAATAATTATACTACTAAATGTACTTTTAAATACAGCAGAATAATGGAGTATTCCTCTGCCAGCATGGTACAAAATCCTGTAAATTATCCTTATTCAATTACAGGTCTTTTAATTGCCCACAAATATCTTGAAAAAATGCATTCTACAGACCAAGTGTTCTCGCCTCTCCACAGATCTGACCTGTAATTTGATCAAGTGGTCTCTGTCTCCGTGACGATAAGCTTAATTTGAGCAATAACCAGACATTCAGTCATACCTATCAAATATTATTGACTTCATTTTATCTGATGATAAGAGGAAGCGCTGGTCCGAAGTGGCACTATTTTCTGTGAAGAACGACATACATTAACAGCTGAACAGGATGTCATGCTGTCAAAACGTTAAAATAGTTGCAGTTCTGCTTTCATGATGCAAAAAATCAAAAGACTAAATATTTAATCTTTCTTTTCTTCAAATACAGTTTTTAAACATCATACCTCATACCTCGTGAGTTTATATTTTTATGTATGGACCACCCACTCTAATCTCTCTATGACTTTTCATATACTTCTCTGGAAATTACCCCATTATTAGACATTCATAGTGGGATTAATTGTGTTTCCTGTTTCAGTCTGATAATATATGGCTTTCCAACTGCATGCATACTAGTGTAACATACTGGTAAATGTGGTCTTATGTTTTGGATGGTGGCATTTTTCAATCATTACATTTCCCTGAGTGAAACCAGACTAAGTGCGCGCTCAGTGAGGCAAGACACAGACGCGTAATCCAGCAATGTCTCAAGACAATCAGTTTACCAACAACTTTCTAATTTTATTGTATGAGGCCAGATCATGACCACATGATCAGTCATTTTTTATGTGTTTTATATTTATATTTACTTGTCTAGACAACTCTTGACCCCCCATGAACTTTGATTATCTTAAACGTCTTCATGTCTGTCATGTCTAAGACGATAAGGCCACCTACACAGTGCCTCTCAGTGCAGATGTGGCTATGGGCTACTCCTTTATGCTACAGTGGTCTGTCTTTCTCAGCCTTAGATTCCAAAGCTCAGGTGTGGTACAAGCACAAAACATCTGAGAGATCTGACAGGCAGAGCAGCCATCCTCTGCTGCTGGTGCAGGCTGCAAAAAAAAAAAAAAAAAAAAAAAGACTAGCCTTTACTTCCTACACTTCAAAGGTGTTTCACTCAGTCTGGCAAAGGGCTCACTACTGTTTGACCCCGGTGTCTCTCAGACCTGTATTTTGATTAAGAATCTGTCTCCTCAGTTTTAAAATAGGCCCTGGACTAAAAAAATATATAGAGAAATATATAAATATATTTTTCATCTTTCTTACAAAGTTGGTCAGAATTTATAAAGGATGTGAAAATTCAAAACACAACGCTTGTGGTTTGGCTTTTATTTTGCAGGTGGAAGGATAACACCTCTGCACTCTTTTTGACATCACCGGAAGACTTTTTGATAGGTGACGCTTTAATGCACGCTAGGATGAAATAAAAATGTGTTTGTTTAAAATCATAAACCAAAGTCGGGATATTGAATACAGCACAACCACTCAAATTAAATCAATCTACATACACATCGTTACGTGCAGTGCGTAAAAGTTATTTATCAATCATTTTACATCCGGACTAACATTTATTGTTGTTTTGATGCAGCTTGAAAGTCAAGTCGCGTCAGTGGACATATCAGTGTCCTATAATGTGACAGGACGCATGCATTTTGTGCACAGATCCGCGCCATGAGAAACTATCGCCTGAAACCTTCTGTCAAACTCAAGTGTGTCGTATTAGTGAATTAATCTCCATCGACGTGGCGCGGGCGTAATGCGCAGTGACCCACGCAGGGCCCCGGCAGCGGCGTCTCTTTCCTCCCGACCCTCTGGAGAGAAGTGTGCAGCGAAACTCATCGTGTTATCAATATTTTAAAATGTGGCATTGAGACAGAAGACTTTTATGCAAGAATTAAATATATTTTTAGATGAAAAAGTAAAATTTGGAGAAAAGCGCGATTGTATCAGAATAGATAGCCTTTGGGCCTATTGTAAATATTATATTTATATATCTAAATTATGTATTATTGACAACCGAGATTGTATTTAATATATTCCACACTGACCGGATGTTGTGAGAACATTAATTTAGGCTATTTAGGCCTATTTAAAAGTTCTTATAAATGTCTTATTTGTGATTAAACGTTCAGATAAAACGCACGGTGAATGCTTGATTTAACATTAGGCATTCCGATAAATAAATGATCAATATTTTAACATTTTGATTTAAGTGGGAATGAGCATCGCACTCGTGTGTCATTCCACAGGCCCCGGTGTGAGGCGCAGGTCCGTGGAGTTGAGCGGTGACGAGAGGACGGAGGTGTCACAGGTTTTCTCTGCTTCTCATCCAAAGTGTCAGCTCAAAGAAAAGGTTTGAAGCATACTTTTGGCCAGGCCTTGCTTTTGTTTAAGTACAGTTTTGATTGTAACAAGCTTTTTAAGAATTGACCAACAGTTTTCTCTCGTGCGTCCCCAAAATAAGAAATTAATATGAACTACAAGAACTAAACGACGACTGACCAAATATTTTCAATATTATATTTAAATCTTGTGCAAAAATGTAATATTTTATTTACCCGGCCGTCTGCTTCTAGGTTTACACAGTCTACTTCATAACTGATCTGTGATGATGGCAACTGTAAACTGTTGCTATTTGTTTGTTATTTTTGAGCAATGCACGTGGAAAGTAAGAAGTTCTTATTTGGACCGGATTAAACTGCACATAACATTTGGAAAAGTGACTAACTGAGCATAATAAAGCCTATAATCCTGCAGCTGTCGGACCGTGGCTCTTGCCTCTTACCTGCCCTGTTTAGTGATGATCATCTCAGTCTGAAACTTGTGGAACTTGGCCCAGAGTGGGTAGTTATTGAGCAGCGCCTGCGTCTTTCCGCAGACCTGCAGCCCTGGGAGCGGATAGAGCGGCGGCCGCTGGAAGCCGTGCTGGAAGCTGGTGGAGTATTCAGGAGAAGACGGGTGGTAAACATCTTTGCCCCCTGTTGAAAACCCGTCACCCGGAGTAGGAGCGGGAATGTACCCCTGCGCGTGTGCCGCTATCCCACTCCTCCGCATCTCTCCGTACGGACAACTACTGAGGGACTGAGCGTAAAAACGGGTGGGCTGCCCCCCGTAGCCACCCACAGTTGGTTCTGAGTGAAAGGGCAAAGCCAGCGGGTCCTGTCCCCCCTGGACTCCGTCCGTGTAGTAAAAGCGGGGCTCCTGGATGCCCATCTTGAAGTCGCTTAGGTCCTTCCCGCCGCGGTGCAGGTGAATGTCAGCCGGACTCTTCCCGAAAGTTTGTGTTTCAGTCCCATTCAACATGCTGAGGTAAAGGTTCCCGCCTATGCCGCCCATTTGCAGCTTCGCCTTACCTTTGACACTAATGGCATAAGTTTATCGTCCAGCGCAACACACTCAGAGAAGCACTTTATGTCACTACAAACGCCTCGCTACTGCGGGACCCTCGCTCTTCACAGTGTTCACTTCAAATCAGACACCGAGTCACGTGGTGCCTCATGTCCGGCTCTTATTAACTCTGTCCTGGTTTGAGACAGTGGTGAGTCCGACACATGTCCCACTGAGTGATATATACATTTGTATGTGGTGATATTTTGGAGGTGATATTTTGGAGGTGTGTCTGCGGCGGAGCGGCGCAGTGATAGGCTCCACTCATGACAGAGCCAGCCCCTGGTTCAGCGCAGCTCTCTGAAGACGGCTTATTTGTGAAGTGTTCCAACATGCACAACTATTAGGAAATATCTCAACTAAATGTAGATACGGGTATCAAGCAAAACACGTGTAATATATATATATATAATATTTTTAAAAATCAACCTGTGCGTAAATCTTTAATCCTTTTCTTCCACTCATTCAGCTCAGTTATATACTGATAAGAAAATAGAAACAATAGTTTCTCAAGTGTTATATAAAAATACATCTTATTTAGCAGTTTGTTTGAGAATTTAAAAATGCAGCAAAACTAATTCATGATCACATAATAAAACAAGACAAATAACCAAACAAGTAGCAATGACATCATATAATCTTAAAGATGACGGGGGAGGAGGGTCTGCCACCTGCTTGACAAATGCATATGATCTTAAGGAAATAGGTTGAGTTTCATATTTAGTCAAATGTCTGTAAACTTACTCACTTTCACAAAGCCTGTCTCTGATTTTAAGATACCCTCCGTGTGGGGTACAGTCTGGTATAGTCATGTGGGATGAACAGAAACCGCTGTGGAGTGTGTCAAGGTTCATCTCAGCTCTTTAAGGCCTCTTATCTTGTTTGGTTTGTCACTTTTGGCCAGGATATAAAAGCTCGCCCTCTGGTATTAATACATGTGTTGTAAATATAACCGCATACACACACAATAATAAGCAAAATCCCTCCAGCACAGGTATGGCATGGTTATACCCCTCAACACTGTCACTGCCCTAATCTCATCTCATTTCCTGTTTCTCTTGTAGCAAGGTGAGCTCACAAGGGCAGCGCTGAAGTCATCTGAGTTGACACTGGAATTGTGAGAGTGGCCACAGAACAGGCCCTTGCTCCCGTCTGCCCCGAGCCTCTGGACATCACCTTCAGAGGGACAATCAAGTCTTATTTAGTGCTACTAGTGTCATTAGCTGGTCACATGTACACTTTCATATGTATATGCAAGCCAGAGTCCCCAGTGCCAAGAGGCCGGAATACAAAGAAAGTGGTGGTAATAGTGTTTAAAGGCACATTGTGTAACTTTTCTGGTGGAGGGTCCGTCAAATGCTTTTCTCCATGGAGATGTTATTGCAAATTACAGGTCAGATCTGGAGATAGGCGACCCTGCTCACAGTCAGAATACCTGTTTTTCCAGGGAGCTATAAAACCACCTTTAATTTAAGGAATATAACATCATACTGTGGAGCATTCCAGGCAGAGCAATGACATATCCATAGAAACAAGCAGGTGATGGACCCCCAGCCAAAAAGTTACACAGGACACCTTTAACTCTTGGAAATAAACATGATTAAACTATACAGAACTTCATCAGCTTTGAGTCTGAGTTATTTAAATACAATAAAAGTATTTACACATTTAGTAGAAGGGTATCCCATTATACCTTTTTGCAATACTCATCCACTTTATCAATAAATTTAAACACTTAAAATAAAATGATTGAATAAATAATTCAATAAAATGAATAAAAAGAAAGGTTTATGGGCCATTCAAGAACAAGTCAGGTCTAAACCAACACTGAGCCAAGAATAAATCAGTTCACTTTCTAATTATCTTTAACATTGTCTATACAACTTAAAGATGCACTGCTTAACTTTACTGGTGGAGGGTCTGTCACGCAAGTCTGATTCATCAGCCGGTTTCACTTCATGGAAACAGTCATTAGAATTCGTTTGCTCGACGGTAGGCGGGTACTAGCCGCTAACGGGGCTAACAGGTATATTAAGTTTTTCCCAAATCCTGTAGGAAGAAGGACAATAATGTCTTTCCCCTTTATAAAATTCACCAAACATTCTCTTTGTTCCAGCTTTAAATCCTTGATCTCGGGAATCGTTGCCAACACAGAATGTATGGCTCTTCACTGATTGGCTGGTGCCTGAACTCGCACTTCCGGGGTTCTTGTAAACCATCTAGTGTATTCTGATTTCTGACCTAGTCGCTGGAGAGAAATGAAATTGAGCAGAGGCAATAGGTGGCGCCAGCCTGGCTACTGTCACATCAGCTGCCTGGCTCTATTGGTTTGCCTAGAATATTCCAATGTGTGGTCTTAAAATTATCTGTCTTCATCAAGATGAGCAAGTTTTGGTATTTTTGAGGTTTATAAAAACCTATAGTGATTGAAATGCTAGATAGACACCTTCAACACTAATGGAAAATTCTTGGAAAACTAATGACATCTCCATGGAAACAAGCAGCTGGTGTACCCTCCAACAGAAATGTTACATAGTGTACTTAAAAAAAATACAATTGACCAGGATGCTCGAAGACAGTAGTGCTAAAATAACATCTCAGCTAAAAGCAGAAAATGATCAAATGATACAAAAATACATGTTGTCTACTTAGTAGCAGTATTGGAGGATTGGCAAACCAAAGCTTGCCCTCTTGCATTGTGAGTAAGTCTATCCGAGTGTGAGAAGTTATAAATAGTGGATTGTAATCTCTCTCACTATCAAAGACACAGCGGCCGAGTGGCACTGCAACTGGACCCTGATGTAAAATCTTGATGGTTGTACAAGAATGTAGTTAAAGGGAGTACGCTTGTCTGAGATACTGCTCCAGAGGGCCTACGGATTACATGTGATAGACAGGTTCATCGGCGCATGTCTCAGCCTGTCGTCATCATCAGCATCCTACCACTTAATTTAATCAGAGCCAGACTTGTCACTGAAACTTCATTACAGAGTTGACAGATAAAATATTATTGCTTGATAATAAATTCTATACTTTATATTCATGAGAGTCTATTGTCACAATATCATTTTTTGTATCTCTCTACTCTTATCCTCTCATATTTAGATCTGTCATGTCTAATAAAGAGTCTGGGTTGTCTATATTACACAACAATCAAGCACAATGACTCCCTTCTCCAAATTAAACAAACATGATGTGCATTTTAATTTCTCTATCATAGCACATATTACATAACTTACATTGTTTAGCATTTTTAAAATTAGTTATAAGCAGTGTGGAGTATTTTTAATAACACCATAATGACCAGCCTTCACTTTTTGCACTCGTTACCTATCTCTATTTGTTTTTTGGTACTGACTACTGCAGACCCTAAGCCACGCTGGTGCCGCCTAGGGCCTCGGCTCAGTTTCATTTTTCTCCAGCATCTAGATCAGGAATCAGAATACACTAGATGGTTTGCAAAAATCCTGGAAGTGCGAGTCCAGGCACCAGCCAGTCAGCGAAGAGCCATACATTCTGTGTTGGCAACATAGACTGTATAAAAAAAGTGGACTAAACAAGTGTGACATCACCCATAGTGTTCAGTGCCGCTCAAATGAGGCTCTATATTAAGAATAGGATTTTTTTGATGGGCAAAACAGCAAAAAAAAATCAGGATCATGTAGAGCAATATAAACATTTTAAGACCAATATGATGAGGCTCACTGGAGCAGTTTCAGAGAGAGGAGCGACAAGATCCTAATGTAAGTCAATTGGAGCCAGAGTCAGAAGGAGCCAGAAGAGCCTCCTGTTGAACTTCCTATTTGGCACGTGGCAGCTAGTGTGTTAGCTATGTCCACTCATATATACAGTCTATGGTGGGCAACTATTTCCGAGATCGAGGATTTAAAGCTGGAATAAAGAGAATGTTTGGTGAATTTTATCAAGGGCAAAGACGTTATTGTCCTTCTTCCTACGGGATTTGGGAAAAGCTTAATATACCAGTTAACCCTGTTAGTGGCGCATTACATACATCACAACCAAATAGCAGCGATTAGTTAAATTAAAAAAATACCTTCTACCATTGAGCGAACAAATTCAAAAGTTGCGAGGTCAGACTAGCAGACCCCACCCAGAGGAGCAGTTTTATGCTATATATATTATAGATATTATTATATTATCTTCTGATCTATATGTTATAATGTTGTTTCCTCATCAAAAACATATCTGGAGTTGTGTTTTGTTTCATTTAAACATGTTTAACACAAAAATCCTGCATATTTAGAATTTGCTCTTCTCTCAAACTGAAAACACTCTATTCCACCTTGTGATGTCATGTGGTAAATTCGTTTGGATCATTTCAGGTCTGGAGATGCCAATCTCTACTGAACAAAAGGTAAAAAGAGTTGTTAACTTGGAAACTACCACTTCATGACATCACTAGGTGGAGCACATGGCGAGCATTTTGAGCTTTGGAGATGTAGACAGACTAATAATAAAGGGTTACTCAAACATATGTGAGAGAAACAAAACGCAGCTTCATGTTTTTTGACGATAACAACATTATACCATGACTCAAAGCTCAAAAGAGTCAATTTTGTGCAATACAGAACTTTTAAGGAGCTTTCTCTCCTTGTTGCTTAATATATCTCAGATGACATGATGAAGAGATAATCTGGTATTCCCCTCACCTGTCAGTATTCATAATTTTATGGCAGATCGGTGTACCTTAACTGGTTCCTCTAATTCTGCAGTTCACAAGCCCCGAAGTGAAATCCAACCCAGTTTTCTCTAACCAATATCATGCCTGCAATGTTCACTATGCAAAAGTTATATACGGTTGTTGTAAAAAGTCACATATTTGTAATTTATTCATAAAAACATCACAGAACATTTGTCCAAACACTAAAAATGTGAAGTGTGTATTATGTGGTTTGGTCACTCACTCGTGTTTTATGGTTTTCAGAGACCCTTGGGCACATATCCCCCCTTAGGATCATAAATATCAGTGTCTTGACATTGCTCCGATGTGGGTGGGCATGGCAGGCCTGTCACAGAGTTCACAAATCAAAGTCAGAGTACAGGCTGAACTACAGTTTTCATTTCAGCTGAACCCTAACATGAGCAGCCCATTTAAAAATATGACGTTATCATCAACCCACCAGACAGTTATTTGAGATTTATCA